CTCCAAGTTATGAGCATAAACATCTAATCCGCTCCTTTAATATTATTTTTTATGAACAAAAACAAAATAATAAGAAACTTACATTGCCATGAGGTCAATGCTGTCCGTGTTTCCCGCGAAGTCGGGCAGAAGGCATTCAACAAGTAGTTCAGGTTTTTTCTGTTTAAGCAGCTGAACAGTTTTATGAAGATGGGCGGCTCCTCCATCCTCTAAGTCATCTCTGAATTAAAGAAGCAAATTTATGCAAATCGATGACAATGAGAATTAATGAGGGAACTCACCTATCTACTGATGTCAGAACTATGTAATCTACTCCCCATGAGGCGACTGCTGTGGATGTGTTCTCTGGTTCCATCGGATCAAGAGCAGGAGGAGCTCGAGCCGTTTTAACAGAACAGAACCTTTCAAAGGGTAGATAAAGTTGAAAGAAAAATTGAAAATAGAAAGCTCACCTACATCCTCGAGTACAAGTGTCTCCCATCAGCATAATAGTTGCCGTGGAAATAGAGTCTTCAGCTCCCCCCCAACATTCTCCCAAATTAGGGCACCTGTTATATTCAATATATCAGCTGCTTCGGCTTAATGAACAATTACCTCGCCTCTTCACAAACTGTTGCTAATTTCAGCGATTTCAATTGTTTCTTCATCTTAGCCACATTCTCGTTATCATTAGGGAGCGTCTGAAACAAGAAAATCCGCCTTGAAAAGATTTATCTGAACCTTTTCCTTTTTCAACCAGGGTGGTAATCGTAATCTTTTATCTCCCTTTTCAAGCTTTAACTTTCCTTCATACTTGGAAACCGCTTCAGCAACACTACCTGGAAAGAAAAGAAAAAACAAGATTGTCACGTGCAAATTGATAAAATCTTACTGCTGGATACGAAATCTTGAAAGCTGGGACCATCCTTGATAACAAGTCTCCGTTTCTTTACATCTGAAGCTAATTCTGAACTGAAACGGGAACACTGGCTCAGGAAGCAAGATCTTCTCAACAGCATCAGATTACGAGGAAAAATCCGCCTAAAACCGATGGATTATTGAAGGAATAAACACATGAATAAATTACTGATTTTGCTTTCTTATCAATTGAATAAAGAAAATACGCAAGTTGCGGATAATACTGGAACCGCCGTGCGCACGAAAATGTCTACGCAAGCAGACAGCTTTAGTTAAATCTTCTGATAAATCTCATTTCCATGGAGAAGGGTGTGTGTAAATTGGGGTTTGAAGCTTCGAATTCGAACCAAGCATTCAATGGCATCTTGTGATTTAATATTCACGAGTTATCAATCGATAAGACGTCTGTGAAGTCACGAGGCACGAGTTGTTTCCCTCCCCATCACTTTTATTATGATATAAAATAATTTTGTGAGTGAGTAGTGTAAAATGATAATTCATAGAGGAACGCAACGGAATTTTCTTGTTTTTTTCAAAACTTGAAGGGACTGGGAATTCCGTCTGAAATGCGATCAAAACACATGCGGCCCAAGAAGAAGACATAACATCTTCAGGCAGTTTAATATTGATTTTCGAAGCTCACGGCTGGAAATCAGAGCTTGAATCAGCTCAAATCTTCTCCTTCATTTCTCATGCTGATAGCTTATCAACACTTGTTATTCTTTCCTAGAGCGTGTTAACGATGAATGTAGAGCAAATCAGAGAGTTATTAACGTCTTTGGCCGTCTTAAACCAGCAAGGAGAAATCCCAGGCAAGAGATTATAGTAAACCAAAAGACGGCTTCAATTCAGTTCAAGCTTATTGTATGTTAGTTGGGAATCATTCTCCTGAACTTCTAGCTGATCAACTTCACCAACGATGGCTGTCAGATGAGAAATTCGTTAATATTGCTGCGAATATTGTTCTTCACATTCACAAGGTAATCAAAAAGTCTTTAGAAAAAAAAGATTAACGTGTGTCAGCTGTGAAGTAATGTCTTTATCTACTTAGGCTGATAAGAAGAACATGGCCCTTCCTTCGGCTACATTAGCTCTGCTGCTCAATGATTATCGCAACAGATTAGAAGTTCGATCGAAGTCCGCACAGATGTTTCGGAACAGCGTTAGAACCCTTTTCGAGTGAATACGACTTTGAAGCTCCAACAAGTTACTCAACATTTGCAGCATGTACCCTATCTATGAGAAAATTGATGAATACGTGTGTCAGTGCTTCATAAAACCCATGTTCAAATCACTTGATATGCTTATTGATAACAATCCAGAACCGCAGGATATTGAGGTATGAACAGTATAGTAAGCCTCTCACCTCTCATATGAAGACAATGGCTGTTCTATTGACAAGACATGGCAAACGATTAAATGAGCTTAACTCATTCTGGATTGATAATCTCATCACCAAAATTAGAGCCAAACTCTGCTCAGATGATCCTGCTATAAGCAGTGATCTACGTCGTATCTTACTACATGTAAGCTTGCACGCAATACTGCTACCATAGTCTCAGCTTGTTAGGTCCATGATCTGTGGTCTTTTGGTTGGAATGAGCTGTTGATCCCAGAGATTCTCACGACGAATTATACAGAAGAAACACCATCAGAAGTAAGTTTGAACTATCAAGTTTATATAACAACGAGATAACAAAAGAAAAATTCATAAATTACAGTTGCCTATTCAAAGAAAACGAGAAGTCGGCAAAAAAGACTTTGGAAGCAAAGAGAGTATCGTATAGGAACAGAAAACTGGTAAAACTTCAAAGGAGTATGGCAAACAAGGGTATTTACAGAGTTTTTCAAACCGTAGACTAGCAAATTTTCATAAATTTGTTATCGTGAAAGCATCACCTCTTTCCTCTTTCACGAGTGGAAGCTCATAGAGCATATCTTCACAGTTCTCTTCTGCCGTTTCGATACGGCGTATGACTTTAGTCTCCGGCGATCGCTCTGTCAAACAAAGCACATTAAAACTCTGTTAACTGTAATAAACTGTCTTACCTAACATATTCAAAAGATAAAATTCATTCTTGGATAATTCAGGTTTCTTGTTCATATTCACAGCAGATTCAGGTGTAGGTACTGAAGGACAATTCACAGAAGAAGCATTAGGCGTTTCAAATACGCTCTCAGCAGAATCCTTAAAACAGATTTACATCTGTAACGACACAAGACAATCTTACAACTTACATTTAAATTAACATATTGTTTCTCATTGAACATTTGCACAACTTCGTATTGCAAGTTTAAAGCAGTTACTACTCGACTCAAATTCATAGAAACTGGAAGGAGACGGAGGATTAGGAGTTCGCGTGGGAGAGCAGCAGCTTACCATTGGTCACATCCTCATATGAGGCACAATCTTTCAGTCGATTTATTATACGATCGATAACGTCGGTGATGATACCTACTCGGTGGAGCTCCCTCCAAAATGATACAGGATCTACAGCAGTTGCATGAGATTACTCTAATCAATTAGTAACTCACCAATATGCAACAGATTTATTAAACTATGTTCGGGTGGGGTGTCCAAATGTGGAATCCCGAACTCATATGGCACAGTACTATTATTAAGAGAACTTTCTTTGAATATGGAAACAGCCCCAGTCTCACCATTCACGGTTGATGGGGCACTGAGGAAGAAAGTATTGGATGAATAACTAGTTCCTAGAACAGAAAGAATTAGTCGGCAGCAATGCTCCAACATACCTAAAGGGAAATGAAGAGAAGGCAAAGAAGTGTTAGGATTCTCTGACATGGATGAGTTCTTGGATTTGCATCTGGAAATAGTCTCTCAACCAATCTGGCTGACATCAAGTTTTCACCTTTCTTCATCTGATTTCCCTCGAATATGGTTTCTACTCTGACACTTCAACGAGCAGAACTCTTGGTGATTGAAATAATCAAGGAGACCTAACGCCATTAACAACCTGAACTTCAAGTAACAGTAAGAGATGAGAACGATGATGCTAGAAACCTAATACTTCTTTTGCCTATCCGGATACAACCTTTCCAATCCTTCTGCTTATCCTTATTAGCTCGAACCGTGAACTCCTTAGGGGTGATCATCTCATTAGTTCCGTCCAGTAGAATACAAATTTGGTGGATGCCAGGACATAAGAACATACGGTAATGCATCTTCCCAGAGAGAGAGCCACACGTAACCTGAAGAACGAAAGAAACTCAATTGAATGAGATGAAACTTACGTTTATAACATCCTCCATGCGGAAGTCTTTTTTAACAATATCGTGTGAAGTCGGCTCCGGACGAGATCGAGTCTGAGCCTGATTCCATAAATTCATTTTGGAAAACCAAATGCGATAAGCACGCCACGTGGAGAAAGAAGCGGGAATTCTTTTCTTTTTGTCTTTCATGTTGCGTTGAAGTGTGCGTTCAAAAACTGATTTGCATAAACTATATTCTAATGAGCTGCGCAGGAAGTAGTCGGTTGCATCCACACCTGTAAACAGCGTCATCAATTAAAAGTACAGATAAACCGGAAATGGAGAGAGAACGTGTCTCCCAAATAAGGAAATGATCCCTGAATTCAAGTATTGAACGTTCACTGAACGCACTTTAGGATTTTAACAGAACAAAAGACGATGTTTATTCACTATTTAACAAAAGCAGATCACAGGAGCACTCAATGCATTGAGTGATTAAGATTCTCAAAAGTGACAGGATGTCTAGAATTGTAATTTCATCTTTGAACTCACGCAAATTTCCGTCGAACTTTCTTTTCGTTGATATGATAACAGCTGTAAGGCCGTAGTATCATGTGTAGAATAAACGTGTGTTATGACTAACTCAGTTTATGAAGGAATTTTGAGGTTTCCGGAATCCTCAAGGAATGTTTGTAAAGTTTAAACTTACTGCGATGACTCATTTCAGCATCCAATATCTTCGTCCAGCCACTCGTCATCTCATCTTCGTTGGGATTTCGAAAATCTAAATTTAACTTGTACGATGTTGTAGGTGGCGGATATTAATAGATTTACTTCTACAGCTTATCACCACTCCTCTAATCTCTCTACATTTATGGATGTTTGAACATTGACTAGTAAAAAGGATGAGTTAATGATCGCTGAAAATAAAAAATGTATCCATGACGATAGTCACGCGAACAAAATGACTCACTTTGGATCATTTTTGGAAGTTAACGTTCTTGGAGTTTGCAAATGACAAGATGAGGAATAGATCATGGATAGGTTTTTCTACATTAATGATGCAGATTACGGTACCCGGTTGTCGAGAAGATAGATCCCCATCTCACTACTCAGTTCTAAAAATAACCTTATTCTTAATGATGATGACCAACATCATTTGAATGTTTTTTTTCTGAACACTGGGTGGGGTTAGGGTTAGGAAAGAGATGATGGGTACAATTACGTTCACACTTAAGGTACCCACAGAATGCTTAAAGCACTAATGGAGGGCTGGCTCTTGGTGAGGGTGGATAGCGCGCATCCATCATCTCTTCGTGTCACTCCTCCTTCTCATCTTGTCCAGGTTATTGTCGATCTTCATTTCATGTCAAATCCCACTGAGCTGTCCGACGTTTTCGCCTTTTCCTGAAAACGTGCAATCTCAAAACCTTATTCCACATGGATGAGTTCGAAATATCCTTTTTTGAGGAATTTCATAACTACGTCACCAAATCCGTTTTACCTCTACGTAGACGTACGTATTTGATCTGTAGACTTCATTTCTATGAATAGCTTCAGTTGCATATCCAAGCATTCTTTCACATATGAATTTTTCAACCACTTGACCAATTGACGTCATTGCCGTCCTCTGTGCAAAAGCATTTCATGATATTTTGTCCTTGATCCTGACTGAAAGAGCATTTTTGAAACGTCTGTTAGCTTCCGGCAAAATAAGTAGATCATTCATGGAAACATTAGTTGCGTTGCTTTTACTAGTAGTATATATCGTTCAGAAGTTCTCTCTGCAACTCACTATTTTCAGTCAAGATGAGTTACCACTTCAACAATAGACGTCTTCTTCACAACTACTACAAGCTCAGAGGTAGTCAATTACCTCTACTAGGTTACCTTAATTGACAATTCCAGTTCCCCTTCTGCTCATTATGTCACTGCTCTTCTTTAGTCAAGGTGCGCATGCCAGTCCTCCACACATCATTGACATCCGTAGTAAAGCTCCACAATGCAGAGTATGGAACCCAAAAACTTCCGCATTATGACGTAATTTCAGGTATATTCGAAGCCAGCATTACACGAAGCATTGGATAAGATCTGCTATGTCTGCCATGAAATGTTTTCACACATTAGGCCGAACTTAAGATCAGAATGTCGTTCAAAGTGTTTCAGAAATGAGCATTTCAGGTAGCGTTTCTATTTCAGTCTTGATAACACTCCTTCAAACAGACATAATAGCCTCTCCTCGAAAAAAAAGCTTTTTTTGGACACCAGACATCTTAGATAAAGAGATCTTTGTTCATAACCCACCTTGAAATAGAATATGCTGAAGAGCGATGAGTGAACATCTGAACCAACCGCTCTGAGCGTACGCAATTAAATAAACTAATTTCCACGGTCGTTTGCACGTAAGATCTCACGCTACGTCAAAACACGCCAGACATCACGTACAAACGAACGTGAGAAACAGATTCATTAAGTAAAAAATTTCTTTTGCAGAGGATGTGTTAGCGTTTTTGCACCTGGACTATCAGAAGGCTTGTTTAGCAAAGGCTATGGAGGAAATCACAGAGCAGGATGATGGCGGAAATACCTTCAGAAGCACTTTGTCCGAAAAAAGTACGGGTTCCTTTTGTTTTTATCGTATTCTATTCGATTGCTGAAAATGAAAAAAAAATAAAATATTTTAAATTTACCTGAAAACCAGTTCTCTTCCTTCTGAAGCTATTTCATGATAAAATGATGATGAATGCATGGTTCACTCTAATAATCGAAACGAAGTATTTGAAGATCATTTTCGTTACAGTTTTTTTTCCAAAATCGAGTTTAGTCAGATTATTGATCTGAGATTATTCTGTTGCAACAGGGAAGACTGTGTTGAAGTTCAAAAGTTCAAAATCAACTTTGAGAATACTGAATATTTACGAGAGCTGTAAATCACAGATAATATCTCAGATCATCTAGGACAGAAGCACTAAGATCATGACAATCGATCGAAAACATCAGCTAGGCTAATATTTGAACTTTTTCTTGCTTTTTTGTTTTTCTCTCGTACTTCTCCCCAGCTATCAAAACTGCGTCCAGCATGGAGACGTTACGATTCGAAGTTTGCAATCTTAAAAAAAAAAGACTTCGAAAACGTTGTCCATCTTTTCAAACTTTCACAGAGCGAGAAAATCACCTTTTGATAGCTCGCCTTGGGTGATTATCGAAGTGTGAGCCACGTGGACAGCACAATGGTTGAAGTTGTTTTTGAGAAGACCTTATGACATTGTGATCATCAGCATTTTTTGGAAGACACTAGTTCTGCAAAATACTACTGATTCGAGAAACTCTTGTGACACTCTTGAATGGCCATGACGCTATTGTAAATAAGCGTGAGAAGCATCTGAGGCGGCAGCCCGATACTACAAATGGTTTCTGATCGTTTCGCAATTATCAACTCTGAACTGACCAGCAGCGCGATCATAATAATCAACTATGAAGACCTGAAAGAATGTATTCCAGTACTTTTCGGATAAAATTGATAATGCTAATGCATGGTGCCATACAGTGCAGACAATCTTTTCATGCCTGTCAATTCTTCATGCATCTGGAATTCCTTTCCAGTTCCGTTCTTGGTGGCCTTTATTCTGAGATGATTTGTCAATGTCAATTCTTCCAGCAGCCTAGCAAAGTCTATTTCTCTATGATATGACAATCTCTCGGTGTCTGCTGCTTCGTCTTACGATTTCCATAGGGTTTACCCAAACCCTAGTATGAGTTCTGTTTCAATCGGAACTTAAGAATATCATACTATGCTCTCAAATTTCATCAGAGTGCATAAATTTCACAAAATTACAGCGGGTCATCAGTAAAATCTGAACTTCAGCACGTGGTTGGCATCTCATGGCAGCATGGACAAAAGCCGCTTTTCCATGTCCTCCACTTACATGGGAAATCCTTAGATAAACAGAGATCAGCGACAGCTCCCCCAATGGGTGATCTCTGGATATTTATGATTGACATAAAAGCTATACAACCCATATATTCATATTAAAATATAAACTTATAGGAATCTACGTCGTCATCGTGTGATTCCATTTTCATTGAAACGAAGATGAATTCGTCGTCGTTGTCGACCGAACCCTCGTCACGTGAAGAATGCTAGACGTGGTGCTATCCTTCATACAGGGGGTTGCATACCCTTACACATAGATGGGCTGGGTCTTAGAGTTGGGGGCAGCCCACTTCTGATTTGTCGTCTTCCCTGATTCCAAATCTGTTTTATGCCACATCTGAATGGTGAGATGGAAAAACCATCTCCAAACTTCGTTTTTTGCAAGTTTCGCGTCCATTCAATCGTTAGTTTAGCCAGTGATTGAAAATCACCAGGTTATCCATAGCTATCCTCTTTTACTGTCTTAGTTTCTCAAAGATTAGGAGTGATTATGAGAACTGTTCTTATCTACTTCCTGATAAGCATATCTATGGTTGATCATTGTCTATAGCGGATCTTGATCTTGAATATCTAAGGAGGAGGGACATGCTCAATTCATGATAACATCATAACCGGAAAACGCCTTTTTTCAGCCCACAACCTCATTCATTCATCGTCTATTGCATTCTGATGTTCAGTTGAGCCTTCTCTATAGTTTATTCGCTCGTTTTTCTTTTTCATCTTTGTGACCAAGAAGACGGTCTAATGATTGTTAAGAACATTACAGAATGGCCTGCCCATACTTAGGAGCAACTGAAGCTAACTCCGCGCCACCCACGAACCGTGTTAAGTTCATGGACCCTAATGAAGATGAAGCTCAGGACGGAACTAATAAGGTGGAACTTGGCCAAGGAGTCACTTACACACAATATCTACAAGTAAGTCATGTTGTCTCTAGTTACGAAAAGCAAAGAACCGGCAAATCCTTCACCAATGACGTTATGATTTTCGCTAAAGAAGGAAGTGGGAAGGATGATGAACTTTGTTCTCATATAAAATAAACCTGATCGCTTTTTTTCTGTCATAGCTCGATAAATAACTCCAACACTGAATCGTAAATTCTACAAGTTGAAGTTCAATAACCTACTCGAGGTGTTACGATCGATTTACAAGTAGAGAGATAACCTATGAACATCTATTTCAGCTAGATAAACTATTAAGTTGTCAAAAAATGCAATCAGAAGAGGGTGGTCAACGGGTAGATGATGAGCATCTTTTCATAATTATTCATCAGGCAAGAGCTTCAAAGAATTTCATTGAATATGTTCTTATTCTATTCAGGCTTACGAGCTCTGGTTCAAGCAAATCATCTTTGACGTTGATATCGTCCGTCAATTACTCAATAATGCTGTAAGCTGAATCTATCCCTGTAGTCACTTCTACTCTGTTCCTAGATTGTGGATGAAACAAAAATGTTAAAAATAGTGTCTGGATTGGAAAGAACCGTTAGGATTCTCAAGCTGTTAGTGGATCAAATCATTATCCTTGACACCATGAGTCCTTTGGACTTCGTTGACTTCCGGTATGACTGGGAAACTATTGATCTTACTTTATATGAAACGCTTACAGAAAATATCTTACGCCAGCTTCTGGTTTCCAGTCGCTTCAATTTAGATTATTAGAGAATAAACTAGGAGTACGACCAACAAGAAGAATTAAGGTAAGATTCAGCAGATCAAGTAATTCACGTGGAGATCTACGTGACACGCAACCTAGTTCCCACATTGTTACGTCATATCATTTTACGAAATTGAAAGCAGAGAGCGGTTGATCTTTTCATTTCTCTCTCCACCCTTTTCTTATTTCGGTTTTTCAGTATAATGCAACCCATTACAAGAATGTTTTCCTAGAAACTAGAGAAACAGATGCGCTTATACAGAGTGAAGAAGAGCCTAGTCTTCTGACGTTGATACAAGTAAGAACAGTACTCAGATACTAATCCCAACTCGAACTATAGAACTGGTTGGAGAGAACTCCTGGATTAAAACTAGCGGAAGTTGAGGGAGATACTGAAGAAGGTTTCTGGCCCAAGTATGAAAGAGCTGTAAAGCGTTATCTTCAAGACATGTATGAAGAAGCAACGGTAATAAAAGCGCATCAAGAAAGACCGAAAAGATTGTTTTTAGTCTGCGGACACCACTCAAGCAGTCAGAGACCAAGCCATTGCAGAATATTATAAAACCAAAGATTCGTTCGCTACCATTTTAGAGAAGAAGAATCATGATCAGCAAATTCTGAACGGTAGGGTCGAGTAGATATAAATTGTGAGAATGAAATTTAGGAACTCGCTTATTATCTCATGATGCCATGAAAGGAGCGTTAATGATTTACTTCTACAGGTTAGATTGAGATACCGTTGAGCAGTTCATACTTAATCATTACAGAGACATGCCAAGGTTCTCTCAACCATACCAGATTCTAACATATCTTATGGACATAGACAGTTTGTTCACGAAGTGGAGATGTGAGTAAAAAAACGACGTACCTCTATTAGGGCCAGCTTTCAGATAATCACGTCATCTTAGTCCAAAGAATGTTAGGTAGCAAACAGGGTACTGGCGGAAGTTCGGGATACATGTACCTAAGAAGTACAGTCAGGTAATGATAACAAGTGAAGAGACACACTGGTCAAATTCCTATTGCAGTGACAAATACAAGGTCTTCCTGGATTTGTTTAACTTATCCACCTGGTTGATTCCACGTGAATACATCCCTCGACTAAGTGCCCGTATGGTGAAAACTCTCTCAGAACATTCAAATCTGTCGGCTTCATCTAAATTATCGGACTTAGAATACATATCTAATAACAAGCAATCAGAGGTAGAAACTCTTTAAACAAGTATATCATGTCAATAATCTTCGAAAAATGTACACAATAGTTCCACAATAGAATCCTATCTTATGCTTTCACTATTAAAAATAAATATTTATAATATCATCTTCAGCACATATTGAAACTCGTGGATTACTTGGAAAAGGGAGAGAGAGAGAGATAAGAGACAGGGCAGCAAGAATGAGAGATGAAGATGCTGCTGTGCTAAATATAGCATGCCTACCCAAACATGTTTCTACTTCAGAAGTAACAGAAGACGAATGAAAAACCTTTTCCTACTAACAACTGCACGATCAGACACGACATGAGCATCTTAACAAGCAACCATTTTAGTCCCAAAATTTAACCTAATTGGAAGTGGGCGTGGCTTGTGTCTAATTTGAATATGATATTCCAGTCAAGACAATTAACCATGAGCATCGCACAGATGTCTACACGAAATTGCCTGTAACCATTTTTGTATGGAATAAGATGTATATCCAGACATGAATTTGCATTTATATAATTGGAATCACAAAGTCCATTTCCATCGAGTAGTTGGCACTTGGTGATGTCATAGTTTACTCTTTCAGATCGAAACGCATCTGATTTCACATTTGTTTTCAAATGATAGTTGATCAAAGAAGAAAAAGTAAAGTACAAAGTTGTTGGAAACTTTGATTGAAACTGTGAGTAAACGTTTGCACATGTACTTAAACTACAAAGAATTTCCATCCTGCTGTAAATCCATACATAAGGAAAGGTGAATCTCGTTTGCATAAGGCATTCGGCTTCTCCAAATCAAAGCTCAAGTCAAAGGTCACGGTTATCACATGTATATCTGTTGCAAGAGAATATGATTGAGCATTCCTACCAACTATCCAATAATACACGTATCTTCAATGGACGACCCCTTGTCATTTCGGAATTGAAATAGCTGTGCTGTTACCTGACCGCTTCTGCCTTCCACATTCTCCCTCTCTTTCTCTCTATTTCGTTTTCCTCTCCGATCGTCAAATACAAAAATCAATAGGAACATGACTGATCACGATTGTTCGTTCATTGTGTTTATGTACAAAAAAAGAAAAAGGAGAGAAAGATAAAAAAAAATAGAATGATCCATGTGATTGTGTGTATTGGCAAAACTATAGAAACCATAGGTCATCCTCCAGTTACCAAAGTATTAGGACAAGGTAGACACAGTGTACTCTTCTTCTCTGACTCTATGATCTATCTGAGCTTACAACTCTACATGAGAGACCATGCAAAATGATCTATTTGTAATAACCTTTCAAAATTCATCAATGTAAACTGTTTGATAAAAAGAAAATCAGCAATCAACGAACCAACAAACGTGATCATTCATGTTCTTTTTTCTCTATGGTCTCTGTTTATCAATTGATTTTTGTGTATTGTATTTGACAATCGGTGATAGAAGAGAGAGAAAGGATAGAGATGGAGAGGAAATATGAAAGACAGAAGCGGTCGGGCAAGAACACAACCATTTCATTTCAGCAATGGCCGAGGTCGGTGGCTCTTTCAAGGACTCTCTCTCACAGGTAACTTTGTTTCTAATTGTTTCATGTCTTGAAACAGTACATGTTTATTACTTTACTAAGTCAATGAAACTGTTAGACACTGATGAACCTCATGAGCATTCTGTGTTATAGGCTCAAAAGGACGAGCTTCGTGCTATCGCACAGAAGATTGTCGCTGATGGCAAAGGAATCTTAGCTGCTGATGAATCTACTGGTACGTTTCTTCACTCACCCCCCAGCTCCAAGTGTTGTGTTGTTTTTTCTTCGGCATCGATGGCAGGCAATCTCGTGTTTTGTTATCGTCGAATGTGGCGTGACCAAAATGATTTTTGATAAAACACATAAAAGAAAACATTCTTTACACTTGCTGCACTTGCTCCATCCACTAATCATTTCTATATTTAGGAACCATCGGTAAGCGTCTTGACAACATCAACTTGGAGAACAACGAAACCAACAGACAGAAATACAGGTTTTCGTCTATGATCCTCATCTCTCTAACCATTTAACCTTAAGACAACTTCTCTTCACCACTCCACAACTCGCTGAGCATATCTCCGGAGTCATTCTTTACGAAGAAACTTTCCACCAAGTAATTCAATTTTCAACAGTCTGTATCTTTATTGTATTCTGTCTATAGTCTGCTGATAATGGAGAACGTTTCGTTGATCTTTTGACCAAGCAAGGTATTGTTCCCGGTATCAAGCTTGATTTGGGGGTTGTCCCACTTGCTGGAACTATTGGTGAAGGAACCACTCAAGGTCTTGATAACCTTGCCCAACGTGCCGCTGTTTTCAAGAAGGTTCCGTTCAGGGTTCCTCTGGAGATTTGAATATTCTATTGTAGGGAGGTTGCGGATTCGCTAAATGGAGATGTGTTTTGAACATCGGAACTCACACTCCATCTCACCTTGGAATGCTCGAGAACGCCAATGTTTTGGCCAGATATGCCACTATCTGCCAAGCCAACGGACTCGTCCCTATTGTCGAGCCCGAAGTTTTGTGCGATGGAGAACATGATCTTGCTCGTGCCCAAAAGGTCACCGAACAAGTTCTTGCTTTCGTCTACAAGGCTCTTGCTGATCATCACGTATACCTTGAGGGAACCCTTCTCAAGCCAAACATGGTCACCCCAGGACAAAGCTGCCCAGTTAAAGTAATCACTGCCTGTAGTGTATGATTTAATGAAACGTACCACTTTTAGGCCAGCCATGAAGCTATCGGACTCGCTACCGTTGAGGCTCTTCGTCGTGGAGTCCCAGCCGCTGTTCCCGGAATCACCTTCCTTTCTGGAGGACAATCTGAACTTGATGCCACTGCCAACCTTAACGCCATCAACCAATGCTCTCTCGGTAAACCATGGAAGCTTACCTTCTCCTATGGACGTGCCCTTCAAGCTTCCGTTCTTAAGGCAAGTTGTAGCTTTGCAGTCGTGTCATCCTTCTCAATTTAAGGCTTGGGGAGGAAAAGATGAAAACATCCCAGCTGCCCAAAAAACTCTCTTACATAGAGCTAGCGCCAATGGTCATGCTTCCCTCGGAAAATACAGTGGAGAAGACGCCGCTGGAGCCGCTGCCGAATCTCTCTTTGTCGCTAAGCACAGCTATTAAACAATTCATTTTTTTTCGAATAGATAATAATAAAGCTTTTTTTTGGCAAAGCAATGTTGAAATCTGACATTTTGCAAGAAAGGGAACGAATGACACATCACGGGAGAGAGAGAACGTCTTGATAGTCAACTCGATGGTCTATGGGATTATCATTTGTATATTAATAACTCGAGGTGCTTGGAGCGATGATTTGCATCTCTGTCGTCTCTCGATTTCATATACTGTATAATTCATTACATTACCGTATCTGTCAATAAGTTATCGTTGGCAGCACCCAATTGGAAATGCCAGAAAGTATTCGGACCTTTAGTCCATTGTCACCAAAGGCAGATTATCGATTGATTTATCAATGAGAATAAGTGATCAATTGACAAATTTCGTAATAGAGCACGGGAGAGGTCTATTTCTGAGTAATATATATAAAGTTATAAAACGTTTAAAGCTATAAAAATGAGCAACTCGGAGGAGGCTGAGGATAAGCCTCTTGATCTCTCTCCTACATCAGTTCAACGAGTTCGTACAGTTTCCAAGACATGTTGTAAGATGGTTTAGATCTAACTTATAGTACTCAAAAAACACTTTAGTTAGTCCTAATGGCAGTTTTAAACAAGAGATCAGAGCTTATGTTGGAGATGATATGGACAGGTTTGTTTCGTACTAGATTTTGGGCTTCAAATGTACTCACCAGGTATCTGGGCGAAAGAGGTTTCGTTAAACGAATCGTCCCAAAGGATAGCAACTCTCTCTACCGTTGTATCAGTGAATTGGTAATTTGCATAATTTTTTTGTTGAATATGCTAATTTTTCAGCTCTGTTTGAATCAAGTCAACTTTCTACCTATCAAGAATGCGATAGAAGACCATGTACAGCTTCATTATAAGCTTCAACAGATAGAAAATGCTGAGAACGTTGTTGACAGGACGATGGATCGTCTCATAGCTGCTTCTACCATATACAAGTAAGGATAGAGATGGAAAGGTGATTGAAAACGTTTCAATAGAATCAAAATCGTGATTTATCGGGGTAAGGCAGATCCACAAATCGTCGGAGAAAATTATGAAAGAGAAGTGAGTGTGATCTACTGAAATGAATTTAATAGAATGTTTCCAGCTGACCATGTGTGAAGTTACACCCAACTGTTACGAAAGAGTCTACAGAAAAGATCTCCAACTGTCTCTGGCCATAACTCAAAGTGAACGTCATCAGCTCATTCCGGTGATAACATCTTACTTTCAGCTTTTCTATACCAGTGCTTCTATGAGAATGTTATAAAAGTTCCGAGAGAAGTCATCATCGAAGCTATCACACATGTTCGATATGATATCGGTCAGTCGTCGTCCATGTACATTTCAACTGTCGTTTCAGACTCTTCTGGCAAAGATCCTACCACTGCTTCCACACCTCTACCTGGTAAGACAGCTTCTTTTACTTTTTGTGGATGCACTAAAGTAGTGCAGGTAATTTGTGTTAGAAGAGAGAAGTAACTGCTTAGATTAGGGTTATCGTCCTCCAATTCCATACTCAGCCGTCAAGTCATTAGATCCTGCTATATATAGAAACATCGCTTACGATTTATATGCCAAAGACAAGCGGCGAGCGGTCCTTGATGAAAAGAAAGGTCAGTTTTCAAAAAATTAGCATATTGCTTCAGCACTCCAACACGTGTACGTATCCATTTCAACTTTCATTTTTGAATGCAAATGAACTGAGAGCGGTTGCATTTGTATGATGCATTTCCGAGAGTATTAAATTGATCTTTCAGAAAATGAAAGAAAGTCAGACGATCGTTTTCCTGTTGGCAGCGCCTGCATGGCCAGAGATGGCAAGGACATTTTACGAGCAAAGGTTATATCTATTCTTCCGGATAATCACAGATGTATACGTTTTGATAACGGCACAGAGTTGGTAAAACTGATTATCCTAGTAAATGATAGATATTTCAGAAAGAATGTAATCGCTTCTGATCTACGTGCAGTAGTGGCCCAAGTAATAACAACTTGCTCTAACGAAATTCCAGTAGAGGTACCGATAGATCTTAACTCATATAGTAAGTAGAACATCGATCAATACAGAATTACATATATACTCAATCAGATATTCAAACTATCGTACCTGTTGCTTACAAACCAATTTTTCCGTCTCCGTTTATTGTAAATAGTCAACCGACCTATCAACCGCTAAAGTATGACTCCGTCAATGAGTTTCGAAATGTTTTCCAATTGCAGAGAGAAGAAATCAGAAAATATTATTTTAAAAAAGAAGAGAACAGTTTTACAGTCAAAAGACGGTTAGTTGTGTACAGTTTCGATTGAAACAATGAAGTAATGATGCTCAAGGTGCTTTGTAGTTTGCACTGTGATTGTGTCAGTACATGCAGACCGAAAAATCCATATTTTTGAGTCGTTTCAGTGTTTTTTGTTGAAAAACAACAACAAACAGGATTTCGTTTTTCAGATATGGATCGTCATGATGTCTTTCATGTAGGAAATACATGCTTATTACGAGAAGGAAATGAATTACATAAAGTAAAGATTATTGCCAAATTCCCGGACAGCAGTAGATGTGTTCGTTTTGAAAATGGAGTCGAGTGAGTTGCTTGAGTTTTCTATTCTTATTCGTGTAAACTGTTAATGTAGAAGAAAAGTCTCTCAAGCTGATTTGACTCCCCTACCTATTGCCGAAGAGAGTATTCTTCCCGAATTTCCTATTCTTGAGCCTGTAAGCTACTTTTTGATGTTCTTTATGTTCATACACGTCTTGTCAGATTTCAAATGCTGGAACACCTACTATGCATCATTACCCTATCAACCAAGGATCACCATTTCCTCCTGGTTTTTCCATCCCTCCGTTGAATATGAGTATCCCACCACCACCTATGTAAGACTGTGAATTTCTCAAACTTCAACGTGTTTTCACTTGCAGAGTTAAACATATGCCATCTGGTAGAGTGATGTCTACACCAAAGCCATCTTCCAGCTATTATGTTCCTGCGTTTGATCCTAATATTGAGAAAACTACGTGGTGGCAACCGACTCCTAGCATGCAATGCAATCAAAGAGTAAGTCTTTGACAACCTATCCGCTCCTGATCAAAAAAAATTATTCAGTTCAGTGTTGGGCATCGTCCACTATTTGGAACAGGGGGACCAATAGTTGTGCGTAAGATGGAAGCATCCTCCATGCCAACGACTCCTCTTTACCCTACTCCTCCTCCAGGTTCAGATCGTGATATGGTATTTCCATTTTTTTTTGCTATTTATAGTCATAAGTATTTATAGTCCTCGGTTTTCGCCAGTCCTGTAAGGTCACCAGCTTACCCTAAAAAGGCGGCTCCTTATATAGATCGTGAGAAAATGCTCAGAGTGAACCAGACTGTAGATTTCTCAAAAAAGGAAGATGGAACCGATCTTCCGGAAGGTAACTTAACTAAGATTCCAGCAGTAATTCAATTTTAAGATGTTCTCACGCTAAGATATTTTTATAACCTCGGAGTCATGACTTATCGGAACGGGTATGATTTCATGAATTCTTCTCTGGATCGAGGTACGTCAGAACTGCCTGGCTCTTACAGTTGTTTCCAAGAATCCAATTGTTCTGCATTCTCCGGCATATCCATCCCACCGCCATCAACGATACCTCTGCCCGTGTTTCCGGAACAGATGTCCATGCAGGTGAGAGAAGATGTTGGAGCATCTTTGTATGTTCGATGAAGTTTCAGCCTGAAGGTCCCCTCTCTCTACCGTTTGACTGTTCAGTCCCTCCTCCTTTACCACCTATGCCTCAACATCAGGTGTGTCTTCCATCAGCTCCTGTCCGACCTGAAAATTATGCTCGTAAGTTATAGCAATAGAGTAGTTGCTTGTACATGTGGTCATTTTCAGGTTTGATTCCAATGAGTAGTCCAATGCCTGTTTGTGTTAATGGCACTTTTTACTTCAATCCTCCTGTCGTTAACTCTTAGAGTAGTGTTCTTTTAAACCTTTTTTTGTCGTTTTCAAAGGTCGCGTTGTTTTACGTGGAAAAATCAGTCCAGTTTTACTGTTACGTCATACCCATTTTTTACCTTTGTCGCTAGCGTAAAGTAATAATTCATACATTGCGGAATGTTTTATTTTCTGTTATTCCTCGTTTGACTGTGCCTTTTGTTTCCTGTTCGATATTCCATGTAAAGAAGTTATTTGTTAATGTTTTGTTTGAATAAAGTTGGTTTTCACAAGTTCAACTCTAGTCCTACTATGGCATGGGAGAAGTGATGATGAAAGTAAGTAACTGTCTGTATGTACATCTATGTATATGTATGTGTTGTCTGTTGTGCATGTCTGAAAGTATCAGCTCGCTTAATAATCATTTAGGCCATGCGTAAAACCTGTTCGTTATAATTTATGAGATGGGTCATTTGAGCGATATGCGCTTGTCGATAATCAGCCACAGCATCATCTATCTATTTATAGATTTTTCCACCGGCAAGTTCTTCAATGTTTACTTCTTATTATCTTCGTCATCATCATCACCTTCATCGTGACTGATGTTAAATGCTCCTACCCATTTACTGAGATCAAATTGAAAAATGACTTTCCTTACCTTCCACTATCGTTTTCTCATGTTCAACAACCATTCCCATGAGAGTTCCGGTCCCGTTGTAAAGAAAATTGACGCTATCATCTCCTTACCAGATTCTTCTATGATTGTCTTTGAACTCTTATTCTATTCTAACAAGAGGCGGGACTTCCGCCTAACCAGTGCTTTGTGTCTCCATTTTTGTACTAATTTTAGTTTCATTTACGAATCTCTTTCAGTCCCGACATGAAGCCCTCAGTGTCAGCGCGCTCGTTACAGAGTTCAGATAAGCAGGATGGGTGAGTTTATCCGTTATTGATGTATGTACGAGGGTTTGAAACTCTTTCAGCAGTTCCGAAAAAACTTCATTGATGCGATCACGGAATCGTCATCGATTACGTTTATCATCAGCAGCTCTACATCATAGTAATCATTATATTGCGGAGCCATCTCCTGTAACTCCATGTACTGTTTTCTCATTTGACTTACCCAATTCGCCGGCTGTCCTAAGTGGTCGTCCAAGGTGAGCTAATAGTGAACGTGATGTTCTTTAATATTATCGATGATACAGGTTTTCGAGATCGCCACATCTACCTAATACAGCTGGTGTGCCATTATCACCACGTAGCATATTCTCATTTGACTTAGAGACTCCATTCCATTTCGGTTCGACACGAACATTAAGGTAAGAGACATACACCCACACACCCATACACAGGTTGATTTATATGTTCGATAAGTTCACATTCAAATCCATGTTGTTCTTTCTCTATTATCATTGAAATGCGTTTCTAGTTTCTGATAATGTTTATGTTCTCTTTCTAAAGAAGAAGATCTTCAATTAGTTGTTTGAATGATCGCCGACGTTCTTCAACCAAGAATTTGTTATGAGAGCGTCTAGCAATTCAAAGAACTGTCGTTTTCAATTAACTAAATGAGTCATTAAAACATAATGGACACAATAAATAATGCTCGATGTATTTCGTTGATGATGCTTTCTTCTATTAAGGACACCAACTACTCCCAGATCACCGATCACCCCATGTCCGAAAACTGCACCTGGTTTTCCTGGGTTACCAACTATCGTCGAACGTCAATCCTTCAGGTTTTTGTTATTCAATGATATCATGATTGTCAATGTAATCATTATAGCTTTGCTGGCTCTATTAAAGATGATAATGGAAGTGTTGACAATGGCCAAGTTAACATCATCGACACAGAGCCGGGAGAAAGAACTGACTGGTCGTCTATAAGACTAATTATGTTTGTTATATTATTCACACGAATACAATTTACTGTATATTTTGCTTCACTTTATCCATTTTTACGAGTGGTGAGTGTCGAGAACGATTGGAACAACTTACTTTCTACTTCAGGTTGATCCAGAGTCAACATCAAATGACTATGCTCTCATAACGGCTGCATATAGTATAGGAATAGCTGGCTCTGCTCCCATTTTTGGATATGTCTCTAACAAGGTATAGCATACACTTGATCTATGAAACATTGTTTATATGAAGATCTGAACTGCGTGCAACCGGTTTCAGGGTCATCTCTCAGAAATGAAACTGATTGCGTGCAAAGTGTTCACGTTTTTGAATTTATGCTAATTACTTGCAGTTCGGATGTATACGTAAGCCGTCCATGTTTTCCATGATGCTCATGTTTCTAACCAACACCATGTACATATTCTTATATAATGTTAACCCATACGGCAAGGTAGCCATGGGTGTTGCTCGGTTCTTAGCAGGAATAGCAGCAGGTTGGTAAATCTAGAAGTGTCTTAACAATTCTGATGTTCAGGTGGTAATGCTTTGCTTCCGACCTATTGGACATATGCTGCTGCTCCAGAAGATAGGAGTATGGCAGCAGCTCTTTTCGACGGAGCTTTCTGTTTAGGAATAGCCATAGGGCCAGGTAACAAACAACTTCTGTCACATTTCTAATTGCCTTCCAGGTTTTCAACTTCTATTCTCTCTCATATCTCAGGACTATCTCCTGTTCGGGTTCATTCATATTAATATGTATACCTTACCGGCTATCGTAGCCAATGTACTAGTAGCATCAGCCTATTTCTTGATGGCTTTCAAATTTCAAGAAGTCCCTATGGCTAAAGATGATGGGAAAAGACATTCTGTGGACAGTACTGGTGTGTGAACGAAATATAATTTTCCATAAACCCTCAATCTATAGGATCAGCTTCTTTACTGCCCCCGTATGATAAGCTTGCCGTCATACTGTGCATTTTCGGCAAAATGGTTCAGATGTTCATATATGCCAGTATGGAAACGTATGTTTTGCTGTGTTATGTTATGTTTTACCTCCTAATATGCAGAATTGGATCGATGTACACAGAAAGCATGTTCGATCTGACAACAACACAAACCACTCAGTATAATTCGATGCTTGTTTCTCTTTCTGGATTAGTCGGCTTTCTCTTCCTGATATCATATGTGTGGACTAAAATAGGAAAAAGGTTATCATAACACAAAACTTAACAGCTCATCACTTTCCTTTTACAGAATTGACAATCGCCACGGAGTTCTGATTGGAGTTTCGGTCTGTGTGGCGTTTGTCGCTTGTACATACCCCTGGTTCTTTTTCAAAGAAGGCCTCTCAGAATCAAGTAAGTAGCTACAGTTCCCAGATTGTCATATCAATTGAATTAGGTTGTAAATATCGTTGGTGTGGAAAAACACATCAAGTGCCTCAAATACTTTACACCGTCGCTTATGTTCTTGTTTTCGGAATAGGATTCGCCTTAATGAACGTCCATTTGGCAGCGACGTACTCATCGGTTAGATCACCTGACTTTAAAAAAACGGAAATTACCTGTTTTTTCTAGGTGTTGGGTCCTCGACGTCAAGGCACAATGCACGGTATCAATACTCTTCTGGCTAGTTGTAGTAGAGTGTTAGGCCCCATAGCTGTAACGTAAGTAGCAAGTTCATGTTCAACTTGATAACAACTGCAACTTCAGTGACATGTTCGTGTTGTTCGGACCAAACGTTGTATGGATATTCCAATTAGCCACTTGGGGCTTGTTAATAATTCCTTTGATAATATTTTATAATAGATTAGTTCCTTGTAAGCTAGCAGATCCCGGCTTAACCGAGGATACCATTGAAGAAGCTCTAGAAGAGCATAAACCATCTTGACAACCTTTGCTATAAGGTGCTAGCTTGAATTTCAAATTTGTACGGTTAATCAGCCATAACCCCATTGATCAGTTGATTGATTCATCTCATATATTTCAGGTGTTTAATTTAAAAAATTATTTTTTAGGGCATTGTTTGAACATACCTAGCATGACAGCTCTTTCTATATACATATTCTCAGCATTTATTGACCTTTATATTTCATTTTATACAGATATCAGAATGATAACGACTAAATCCTTAGCACAACTTGCATGTTTGACCACATAAGAATCTTATCTCGTCTGTCGTATACGTCACATCCGTACAGAATCCATCATCTGAATATTGTTTGCAACTGCAATACACATATCATTAGTCTTGTCATCTCTTGTCATCTCATCTGCCTACCTCTTATGACGATCTCTACATTTGGGCTTGCAGAAGCCACAAGTCTTTCGGCAATATTCCTTTGTTAATGACACATACAGATCTTGTTGACAAACATCCTTATATGTCTCACAATCTGGTGTCAAATCTTCACAATTTTCTGAAAAATTCAACAAATAGCTATGACAACTTGAGAAGCAGACGCAACCTGTCTCTAAACTGTCATAGCTTTGGTCAACGTCTTCACATCTGCCGCATGTCATCGTACAATGGGCTGCCATGATATCACTGAACTGCGGATGAATGCATAAAGCTTCGAATTCTCGACAGTATACATATTCATCAAAACAAGTTCCTTAAAATATGCATTGACTTTTGAACTCCCTTCGTAAAACCTTTAATGAGTGTCTTCGACAATGAAACTGACATGGAGTCTGGGCGTACATTCGTTATACGGGGTAATCTCAAGTCCTAAACTCATTTATCAAATCTCGAATATGGATAGGAGCAACTCACAGCTGTGCTCATAAGCTCTTGTAATCTGAATTTTCTATATTCGTGTGTTGTGTTCTTCAATTCAGCATCAGTTGGTAGAACAACTGCGATCTTAGTTTGATCCTAAGTGAGCTCTAGTAAGTGGTATCGGGAGTACAATCACTCACATTCTCGATAATAATCTGAGTTTTGTTCTCAATTTCAATTTCAACTTTGGTTTCTTTCTTGTCAGCAACGAACTTCTTCAAGGCAGCGTTAGCAGGAGGACTGACTACCACTCTGGCCCTAAAATATGATTTAACCCCCGTTAATGTATGAACTGGCAAAAACCTGCTTGGCGCAGGGGTTCCCTCGGTACTCGAACTTCTAGTTGTTGCTGTTGTATTCTTTCTATTGAACACGCACTTTCTAACTATAAAAAGTGGAATGCCCTTGTGATTCTAAAACTACACATACCATCACCGTTCTGAGTACAATTGAGTTTATCTTTCAAAGCACGTTTAGCAATTTGGATAATTATGTCGTCAGGGTTCTCAGTGATATTCTGGAAGTGCAAGTAAACTGAAATCTCTTATAGAAACTACTACCAAAGATGGAAGTTCACACAAATCACATGTCTTAGCACAACTCTGTCTAAGCATATCCTGATGAGCTAAATGGACATATCTCAAGAGCAAGGCCAGAGATAACAAACCTGTACTGTTACATAGTGAAGTGATGAATCTACAGAATGTGCTCTTATCCACACATTCAGATTCTGATTGAATTGAAACGGTGAGCAAAGCTGCTACTATTATGAATCGTATCATATCTTAAAATGGTTTAATGAGTCAAATGAAAGTTCAAATTTCGAAATAGCAATAGATAGATTGTACAATCCAACTAGCTTGACCAACCTTATATAGCTGAGAGCAGCTAGACTAATATACCATTGGCGTGCTGTAACGTGTACATAGTGCTTAGCCATGTTTAAGGACAAAACAAAAAGCCCAATTGTCATGTCCACATAGAGAGGATGACCATATCAATTTGAAATAAAGCTAAGATCTAAAAATAAAAATTAGAACAATCTGTGAGGTTATGATTGGTCATCGTCAGTGTGTTGCCCCTTGCAGCTCTTTGTTTCATTGGAGACAAAGAAGTGGAAAAAAAAGTAAAAAAAGAAATTTAGCTAATGATTCATTAGTTTATGCTTTATCAGCGAATGTAGCACCAAATGAAAAACACAATTTACACGATGATGATGATTGCTCGAGAAAGCGAAAAATAGGGAGCGGGCGCGATTCATTATTACACAAGTTATATACCAGTTTCACTTAAACTCTACCAACTTTTCGAAGAAACGAAGAGTGTTTATGAAATTATAAATCTAAGGTACAACAAAAGCTTCAAAGACTAGATACTATGCAAGGTTGGTAACCTGCTTCAACAGGTAAAACCTTTTCTCAAAGTTAATTCAAATGTAAAAATTAAAACCTGAGACCGTAAGTAAGTGAATATGTTAATAGAGCATTATGGGAGGATAACAACGAATTAACTTCAATAACGTTTTTTGTTTATAAAACTTTCTTTTTAAGTTCAAAGAGAAGGTTGATGCATGTTTCATGAAAGCAGCGAATGGAGAGAGAGAGAGAGAGAGGAAAACGTTGAGAAAGAGAAAAATAAAAAAAAACAAGTGGATCATGCAGATTAACTGTAATGCCGAGTGAACTCATAGTCAAAGTCTATTGCGCCACTTTCGCTCAACTCATCCATAGAGGCTCGACGAGACATATAAAACTCGCGCTCTGTTTCCTCAACATAAACCTGAAAGAGAGAAATTGATTGAATGGAATTATGATTGGATATTCACCTCTTCTTCTGTTCTAGCTTGGACGCTTAGTTCAGCCATCATTTCTAGTTCGGAAGGCACATCACCTAATGTCTGCAAACGCATTGATAAACTTGCTAATAGCTTTGCATTAATAACCTGAATCCATTTTGAATTGAGTATTTGGTCTGCTGAAAAGCGGGTTGTATAATCAATATTCACCAGGTTCAAAATTAAGTCTTTAACAGACCAAGATATCTGAATGAATCATTATAGAACGTAGTACACACTATGATCTTACATTATCGAAGGCTGGAGAAGGAAATCCGATTTTTCCTCGAACAATTTGTCGGAATAACTCTTCTTGGGATCCATCACTACTGAACAGTTGAAATATGAACAAAAACAAACAATTTCGTTGGACAAACCTATGGAATGGAGGGAAGCCACCTAACATGACATAAAGAATAATACCAGTAGCCCAAATATCAACTTTCTCGTCGTATCTAAAAGTTTTTCTTTTTCATGAAAAAAAGGATATCAGCTTTCCTACCCTGTTCCAGTGAGGACTTCTGCAGCTACATAAGTAGGTGTACCACAAATTACTGAGAGTAAAGAACCATCTGAGGGCATTTCTGTAGCTAAACCAAAGTCGGCCAATTTCAACTCCATTTCACTATCAGATTTCCAGTATAACTGGAATAACCACGAGAATTATGAGTTAACCAAACTATTCACTAACGATCAAGTTTTCCGGCTTCACATCGCGGTGTACAATGTTTCGTTCATGGAGATAACTAAAAATAGAATCACTACTGAATGAACAATAAACACAATTTACTCTAAAGCTTCGCATAAACATTTTGTGAGGCCGGCTGTTTGTCGTTCAGTCATTCGACGTGCTCTTCGTAAATATTCGAAAAGATCCCCACCCTTAAACACGATAGTGTAAAAAAATGATAACTTATCATGCACAACCGTACAATGTGCTAATCGCAATGAAATAAAAGTAAAATGTGCATTAATATAGTCCCACGCATTTCACGTGAAGCAAATATGCTAATTACAAATGTAAACATAGATAGTGCATAAAAATAAAATTTGAATGATTACCTCAACTAACTCTAGCGATAAATAATGAGATCCATTAATACACCAATCGTCAAACATTCGCACAATATAAGGATGTTCAATCTTCTTCATTATGGCCAATTCACTCTCTATGAGACTCTCTTTTCCGATTGTATTCTCTCGAGAGATAATTTTCAGAGCTTTCCGTTCAGAAGAAGCTCTATGAAGCGATTGATGACAATGAAATGATTCAGAAAAACGAACCTCTCCATTACTTCATATACTAAAGCAGTATTACCGTCCCCTAAAAGCTGAAGAATGTCAAAAAGACCATTCAATTCATCAGGCAAATGTCTCGCTGAAAACGCCTTAATCATTGATCTTATCATGCATAAGTAAGCACCTAGTTCATCTGGAATCACTGAACCACAACGATCATCACGTAAGCTTTCGTTCCTATTAGGCATCACTCGTCTTCTCAACGGGATTTTACTTCTATTGACTCCCAAACTTTTATACTCTGGAAAACGAGTAACAGATTGTTGTTGAAAACAATATGAAAGAGGAAACCTTCAGAAATAACATAGAAATCATCAGCGCTATGTTTCTCATTTCCATAAGCAATAAACACATAATCGTCACGAAAGAAATCTCGTAAAGACAAAACCTTATAAGGAGAACATGAGAATGAGTTTGAGATGGTCGAACTTACAGGTCTTCCGGATAGATCAAACAGCTTCCGTATAGCTCCGCTATCGAGCTTAACTACAGTTGTCAGGTCTCGCATTACTTGGTCATAAGACCTTAAATCATAAATGTAAAAAACAAACAACCATATATCAAGAACCTTGCACTTCTCCTGTTCAATAAGTGTCTGACTACTTTTCTGGGTTTCACACCATTGCGAATGACTGTGATGATACGGGGCTCAACGAAATCAGTTGGTTCGGCCTCCTGATAAACCAATAACATGATAATTATGCAAATTAGGCTCAACTGTATCTCTGACGCGAGGTTCCAAGCCTAACAAACTTGAGTCGCTAATCTTGCTGGGCCTTGAGAGGGTAAAACACCACGAAGGTTCTTTGGCTTTCGTGTAGTCCATAGATTTGATAGTTTCATTGCTGCGAAAGTAATAGAGATAGGAAGAAGTAGGACAAAACAAAGAATACCTTGAGCAGACATAAGACTCTCCGTCCTCAAATTGATCAATTTCCGTCACACGGAACTAAACGAATGATAACACTGTTAGTTGACATAAAAAAATAAAAACCTGTCCATCAATGGAAAGTATGTGCCGAATACCATGAGGCAGATTTTGAGAATCGCCCATGGTCCGTGTCAAATCTTCCATAAGAGGTTGCATACTACGTATGCGATCTGTGTGGAGAGCATAGGTTATACCCTAATAAGGAGAATATTGAAGAAAGTGGGGAAGAAAACTATTGAGAACCTTGAAATACTGATCTCCATTTCGGTAAAAACGAAGACGCTTCGCTTTCGTCGATTTGGCAACACAACGGAATTGCTTAGGAGCTACAAAGTCCGTAACTACATCTCTAGCTTCACTTGGTGAAGGATTAGACGAGTCACGACTGTAAGACAAAACATGCAAAATAAAGAAAACTAAGAACTGGCGCCTCACCTTTCCTGTACCATAGATGATGTTAGTGATGAAGACGTTTCAGGTTCTCTCACATCGTATGTTGACGAGCGCGGGGTGGCCAAATCATCACACTCGAGAGATCCCTTTTCGACTAAAACGGAAAGATAAGTGTGTTCTTCTAGAGATTCCAAAGTTTTACTTCTTTTCTGACCAGGGGAAGCTCCTGGTGGAACAACTTTCTTCATAGCTTTCTTCCTCGGAGTGGGTCTAGGCAGTGTATTACGCGGAGAAACACTCCGCACACATACACTTGGCATCCTAGTTACCCAATTCTCCTAAAAAAGGAAGAAAAAGATAATAAATAATAAAAAATAGTGACGAATAAGATAAGGAAAACAAGTATGATTGTTACTATATAAGGCAACTGCAATCAATAACATGCGACAGAGGGGGGGAGGGGAAGCAACGAACAAAATCAGAGAGAAAAACAGTAAAAATCTGCGGCTTCACATCAATCGAATTGGTTCTCTTGTTCAGTCCATCTAGACATTGACCCATGGCTAACTCGTGGTGGCTGGAAAAAGATAGAAGACTGAGGGAGAGAAGCAGACTCCTCTTCTCTCAACTCTCTTGTATTCTTGTACTCTCTCATTGATGACATTTTAGGCGGGAGGATATGCGAGAACACAGTTTGCTGAACATCAATGCTTCTAAGCGGGAAGGAGATTGTCTTACCACGTAACTTTATCAATCGTTAAAACGGAAATACATGGTTTATGGAAATTTTGTGTATGTCGTATGGATTGCTACAAACTGCCCCACACTCCTCTTGTCGGTCCCTCCCCGATCAATGACGGTTCGTTATTCCTCGTGATGAAGCATTTACACAGACACACACACACACACATACACAGACATTAAGCTACTTCTTCATTAATCAGACCAATTGACAACACAAGAATATACTTCGCCATATCTAGCCGTTCAAGGAAAATCGGAAGTCAGCGGAAGATAAAATTCATACTGAAACGAATAAAATTGTTGTTTTACACACACATTCTCACACTCGAAAAATCGAAATATGTTTCTTTATGGGAGTACGAGTTGACGATAAGCAGAACCCTGTTACTTAATCCTTCTTATCTATCTTTGAATTCGTAATACTCGGTGCTCATCGATCAATACACATTTTGTTTTTCTTTGAAACATGATTCACAAACATAAACATCCTTCAATTATTTTTTTATTATCGAAATTATTGTGAAAATGTACGAAACTATCAATTCCACACGTTTTTCAAATTAATTCGAACCGTCCTTCCACGTGTGCAGGTCATTTTTTCTCGAAATGCCCATAATGTTCGCGAAGCTTCCACCACTACGCGCGTAGCTCCGCCCACTTTCATAGTCAATCCTCATGTGTTTTTGGAAATTATTTCAGAGCAGTAGGTTGACTCGCGATTATTAATGTTATATGTTGTTTATCTATTCGTCTTCATTTCCTCCTTTCATCATTTCTCCTTCTTTATCTGATTAGCTTACTTTGCAGACTGATCACCTATTGATTATGACCCAATTAAACGGAAGTGATAGAGTTATTTTTGGTAATCCCATGAATAACCATAATACCCAGAGTTCCTCGCAACCTCGTTACTATGTTAACGAACCGTTAGGCAAGCGACCAGCTTGTCATCATACTTATTCGGTAAGTCCTATCACTTACGCTAATTTCCGTCAATTCCTAATTTGCAGGACATACTGGAAGGTGCGCCCCGTGCGAAACGTAGAATTGAGAAGGTCAATTCGTACTTGCAGAATTTAAGTCTTTCTCAAAATCTCCGGAATCCTACTATTATGTGAGTGAGATATGCATTTATAAATGAAACATTGTGCGGTTGCAGAGAATCGTCTTCAGATGAAGAGATGTTGGAAGAGGATAGACCAACTTGCTCAACCAACGCCATCGTAGAAGAACCTGAAGAGAACAGTAGTATCAAATTGAATGACCAACTTCTTAAATACATAGCGCTCTGTAAGAATCAACCTGACGAAATCCTGAGAAAGTAAGATTCAGTAGTAGAAGGCCATTGTCGTAAACAAAAAATTGCAGAATAAATGGGCCAGCTAGAGGAGACGAAGTTACTATTTGGAGGCCAGTTCAGTCGCGTCCGGAACATGATCTCCCTAATATGGCCGGTAGAATTCGAGAAATCGACGATGAAGAAGAGTTGCCAGAGGAAGTTGGTAAGTGAAACATTTTCGTAGAAAACGAGTACAGAAGACCGCAAAAACTTGGAAATCTTTTGATTGCGGGACATTAAAACCTGAAAACATACAATACAGTCGCCAAACAAGCGACACGGATGGCCAAATTTCCTTTGAGGACATATTATTTCTTGTGTTTGAGCATAATAATACTGTTTACTTTTGCAGATGACGTCTGTGTTTCTTTTCCTGACGATACATCTCCTGAAATGTCTCCATATTCGCGATCCAGCCTTTCTACATCGCCGACGCCGCAGATAGTGGAGTTGACGGATTCGTCCGCTTCTTCGCCTGCGCACATGATGGAGAATGACTTTGAGATGGATACCGATTAATTCCCTAAATACTTATAAACATTTTTTGTGATTGTGTTCGAGATATAATCATAATCGACACGTTTTATGATCTCGGCTTTTCTAAATTAGATTATTTATGTTTTTCTCTTATTCAGTATTCATAGATAGAATTGATTGTTGTTTATATTGTTTCACTTGACTAGGTGCTATCTAATAAAGTTCTTTCAAACTCCCAAAGCTTAATAAGAGCACAAAGCATAGGTTAAAGCACTACAGGTTAGGCAAATCATGGCAGAATTTGAATTTGGCGGGCTTGTTGCGCGGCCTCTATCGCGTCGCGGTCAGCATGTGCGCGTACGACTGCCGGCCCATCGTCATCTGATGCTCCATAATAAAGGCCAAAACTGTTGTTATACATTTTGTTTCACTATTAAAATTAGTCAGAAGTTGTGAGAATAATATTCTCGAACGCCTCAACACTGTCGCAGCTCCAAACATTTTTCTGAATGTCGCGTTTTTTGCTTTTTATAGTCATCTTTGCTCTTTTATCTTTCCGATCAACTACCCTGTTAATAGTAGAGATAATTTTTTTCAGGACCGCAGCGTTGGTCAAGGCTTTTGCCATTGCAAGCGGGGGACGAATTAAGCCTTCCAGTATATAGGGGCTCAATCTTTGTTGTTGAGTTAGAGTGTTTGGAAAGTACGGTTTAAGAAATTTGTTCCTACGTCAAGTCTTACGATCAAGTATTCTCTAAAAAATATTGTACGTAATTTAATTGTGTTCTTTATAACTGTAGGCATTATTGTATTCACTAAATTATAGGTGAACAAGAATGGCTACTATGGCAGGAAAGGATTTCATCGTTGCTACTAAATATAAATTGATTCGTAAAATCGGATCTGGGTCTTTCGGTGATATTTATGTATCAATCAACGTTACAAATGGAGAAGAAGTTGCTATCAAGTTGGAAAGCAACAGAGTAAGCTTCTTGTATTATTCGTTAGCTTTGCATAATTTTTGTATTACAGGCTCGACATCCCCAGCTTTTGTACGAGTCGAAAGTATACAGAATCCTCCAAGGTGGCGTCGGTATTCCTCATATTCGCTGGTTTGTTTTCGGTATTGCGAAATTTTCATTTGATATATGCTATGATAGGTATGGAACTGAAAGAGAATATAATGTTCTCGTTATGGATTTACTCGGTCCTTCTCTGGAAGATTTATTTAACTTCTGCAGTCGACGTTTCACAATGAAGGTTAGTTGTGTTCCCGAACGCTCCGCATGCTTTTTCTTAAAATTATGAGTCATTGAGTTGAACCTCAACACTGCTATGTTATTGTTTTCTACTTACTGTTTTGTCGGATCGTTCAGCTATTCTGTAACCATTCCAGACTGTTCTCATGCTTGCTGATCAGATGATTGGCCGCATTGAATATGTTCACGTGAAAAACTTCATTCATCGGGACATCAAGCCTGACAATTTCTTGATGGGAATCGGAAGACACTGCAACAAGTTGTTCTTGATCGACTTCGGTCTCGCCAAGAAGTGAGTATTGCCTCAAGTCTATTCTTGCCTTCCTACTTGTCAATCAATCATTTGGCTCCTTTAGGTTCCGTGATTCACGTACCAGAACGCATATTCCTTATAGAGAGGACAAGAACTTAACGGGTACTGCTCGATATGCTTCTATTAACGCTCATCTTGGAATCGAACAGAGTAGAAGGTTTGTTGTGATCTTAGACCTAGAAGGACAACGCATGTGTCCATATCATGATTTCATTCGTTTGACAATTGATTACATCTTGCAGAGACGATATGGAGTCTCTTGGATACGTACTTATGTACTTTAACAGAGGAACTCTTCCATGGCAAGGGTTGAAAGCAGCTACTAAAAAGCAGAAATACGAGAAGATTAGTGAGAAGGTTTGATAGACAAGTTAGATGAACGTTCATTGTGTTTCATTTTAAGAAGATGATCACTTCCGTGGAAGTCCTTTGTAAAGGATTCCCTGCAGAATTCCCAATGTACTTGAACTATACCAGAGGACTTCGTTTCGATGAAGCTCCAGATTACATGTATCTTCGTCAACTTTTCCGAATTCTTTTCCGCACTCTTAATCATCAGGTTTGTCTCGCTTAGAAACATATAATTATATTCACGATGAGATGTTTTCAGTATGACTACACCTTCGACTGGACAATGTTGAAACAGAAAGCCTCTCAATCCCAGACCGGAAATGTTCAGGCCAATTCCGCCACTGCTCAAGCTGCTACCGGAGCTGGTCAAAACACAACTCCTGCTCCTTAATTACCTTCCAACATTTAAAGCATCAGAATGCTCTTCCACTGTTCCTCCCGTTTCCCATTAATTATTTTTTCGTGATGTAGTTAGCACACGCCCTCTCCGTCATGAAGATGAAATTTTCTTTATTTAGGTTTTTATATTCTCCTCCTAGATGATCACGTGGCATTCATATTTTGTTCTCTCCGTTTAGTCGCGTGCTATTATCTCCTTTTATTCATTTGTTTGGTGGAGCTTGGAACACGAAGTATTCCAAGTAACTGTTTTGAACATTTTATTATAACGGAGACAAGATTGGCAGACGGTATGACATTATCTCTCCTTACCTTATTTGAGACATCCTTTCGAAGTTGTCGCCCCTTTGTCAATGTCAATTATTGTACTGTTGATAAATCGTGAAATTATGAAAGTGTAGCAGCTCTCATTGAAACAACCCAGTTTATTCGATTGTCCTATGTTACATGTTGGTAGATAGATACATTTGCGAGAAAAAATATACTCTAACCGGAAAAGTCATATAATCAAACATTGGTGAGGGGAAAATGAGCGAGGGAATCTCAGTGGGTGGGTGTGTATGGCGACAGGAGTTAGGAGTGAACTTCAAGGGTACGAGAAGCTGGAGGATGAAACGTCCTATCCATGCAAGCCAAAAATGGGATTAGTGACATAAACATTCTAGATAGGTCCTATACGAGATAGGCTAACTAGTTAGTGACTATTAGTCGGCAAATTAAAACATGCCTACCATGGAATGAGAAAGAATTACTTCATTATCTCATTTACAAGTCAGCATTACAGGCGTTAATTTACGATACAATCCCTATGCACATAAAAAAAATATAAAAACGAAAACCAAATACTCTTATGATAAACACGCATCGACCAAATTGATATCAATATGGAGACAAGATTTTAGGGATAGGTTCGTTTACGGTGAATCAATTATTTCAGGACAATGAGCAACACTTGCATAAGCTCGTTAGAGATTTTCAATTGTATAGCTAAACCATATTAGCTTCTAGAGAAAAATTAAACTCGAACTGGACTTTCTTTTTTGACAAAATCATCCTTCGATGTTGATGGCCCGAAGTCTAAGTTTAAGGGATGAGGGCTGTTTTCCTGTTCGGCATCGGCCTTTTCTTCTGGGCTATCTGCCCATTGGCTTCCTGTCGGGTACAACCTTTCCAACACCTGTTCATGAAAATCAATAAAAAAAGTTATGTAAGACGGGGGTTACCTCAGAGGGGCAATTTGGTGGAGGTGCTTTGCCGCCAAAAGGCTTCAAAAAGTCATGTTGCAAGCATGCAGCAGCCGTCGCTCTTTCATCCTGAACTCTAATTCGTTACCTAGTTGATCAATGTTCCATACCTGATCGAAAGCAAGCATTGGTACAAGGAAGGAGGCAAATTGCCGAGCCTGCTCAAAAGGCCATTCATATTTCTGACGTAAAACATCAATTAACGGCCATGGCTTCAAGTTCTGGATGTGAAGGAGCTTTCCTTGCTAAAAAAAGGAGACATTACGCGGGGTTAATCAGTCAAGTAGAAACCTTGCTGAAAAACTCTCTCCAACGTCCACCCTTTTTGTAAACAGAAGGTGGAATGCTTCCTAGCAATTCGTGAATATGAGCTAAATGGTCTTCATCGCGGGAATAATTATCGCCCTGATGGGGCTCAAACAGATAGTCGCCTGTAGCTAATTCAAAAACCTGCAATGGGAAAGAGTGTAAGGTATGTTGACATTTAGATTACTCACCATGCATGCGGTACTCCAAATATCAGCTGGAGGACCATAGCCAGCACCAATTAAAACTTCTAGAGATCGATATTGACGGGTTTGTATATCTTCGGTAAAGTGATGATGAACCCAACACGCATTTCCAAGATCAGCAATTTTTACCTATGAGCATTGTTCTGAGAAAGAGCTTCATGTCTGTTACTCACTTCGATATTCGCGAAAGGATCATTAAGATCTGGACCTACAGGAGGACCAGGAACGAAGGATCCTCCAAAAGAGAAGGGTAGGGTAGGAGAAGTGGGTGGCTCATTCACTGAAAGTAGACATTATCATCAACAACTACAATGGTTGAAAGCGGAGAAAAGGGAGGGGTGTAAGTAAAATATATTAGACCAACAGTTAAATCCATTGTTATCAAGATCAGGTAGGTTTTCACGGTCGTTATGAGGAGGGCTCAAGCTTGTTCTTTCAATGGGAGCTGGGCTTTTAATCTAAAAACGAAAGTCCAGACCTTGTATTTTGTTTAAACCAACATCAATCCCATTGATCTCACCATCCTCAGCATCACTAATTTCCTGAACCTTTGTACCCAAAGAACCCGTGGGTTCAGAATCCTGAAAAGCAAATATGATATTCAGTAAAACTTAAAAGGAAGGGCCGCATGCAATTACTGAACTAAGCAAGCAGGAGATTTAACGTTCAGGTGTATATTTATCGCGAAATTTATGAAAACGATTTTGGATGGGGGGAGGGGAAAGGCATTCGTAATGAACCAAGGAAAACACTTTGTGACAACCATTACAACACACTGTGCATGGGGTACCTGTACCGAGTAATAAGTTTGATTGCAAAATGATTGATTTTGCACGGCTTCTGATTGCGTTAAAAGCCGAGGAAGAGCAGCATTTTGCCCTGACGCAGCATTTCGTAAAAGGAACGGAGCCGGTGGTCTCATCCCTCGCGCAGAATTCTAAGGGATCAAGGGTCATAAGAAACGCTTATGAATTCGATATTTTCAAGAAGAGCTCAGCAGAATTGAGTGAAAACTTACAGGAGCACTGTTGAGAACTTCGGTTATAGCATTGGCATCAACAGTAAGTCCTTCCATTTGAGCCAATTGGCTCTCAAGAAGTTCTCTCTGTTTCTTAGCCTTCCTTTTCAACTTCTTTTTCTTGTTCTTAGTCAAGTTCTCTTGTTTCTAAAAAAAAAGGAAATACAACCTGTTGCAAGACCATCACACTCACCTTCTTCTGAACATGAAGAGGGGCAGTACTGACAGCAGATCCGCTAAGTTTGAGATTCATTTTGGTGGCAACTACTGCGTGTTGGGCCATGGCCTTAGAAGAATAACATTATCTAGTCAGATTGGAGATAGAAACTCACTTTAACTTCATCATGAGACATAGTTACAAGCACATTTTCAGGTTTAATGTCAGTATGGATAATATGGCATTTCTCATGCATATATCTCAAGCCCTCTAATATTTGTCTAGTGATTGTTCTGACATGCTCAATGTGTAAGCCATCATAATTGGAACGGATAATGAGTTTCAGAAGGTTACATCCAAGAACCTGAATAGATATGATATGCTATTTGAAAAGGAATTGATTGGTTACCTCGAACACCATGCACACATGATCGCCATTCACACCGCTCACAGTGAACTCGTCAAGAAGTTGAACAACTTTCTCTCGACCACTATCAGCAGGATCTTCGTCACGAACAGAACGTAAAAGCTGAAGCTCATCTATTATAACCTTCTCTTAAGAGGACAATCCTACTCTAATCTCATCAATGGCAGCTTCCGTATAATGTTCCGCTGATTTAACTATCTTCATTGCTACAAATCGCTTGTTAGCTGTGTCCCAGCATAGCCAAACAGTGGAGAAATGTCCCCATCCAAGCTTTCTAATAACATGATATCTGGAACATCGAGCATGAGATCTTGTGTAACACACAAAGTTCAATTACTTATTATTGAACACATCTCCAATTAATACGGGATGGTAGCCTCCTTTCCTATAGTCACGTGGATCTTCTTGTTCTTCGTCATCAGACCCAAGAACTTCTTGATCAGGCTGAAACTTCAAGTAAGTCGTATATCTCTCAAATATGCAATACACCAACCTCCTCTTCACTTGCTTGACTCCGATGACCAGCGGAATCACTACAATCTGACGCACGACATTCTACATCTCCAGGAAGTTCAAACTCAGGGTAAGAATGAGCGAACTGTTGTTGTTGTGGGCGAGCTAAACGACATACTTTCATTCCGACTTATACAAAGGATGATAATAATAATTATTGGAGAAGAAACAACTTACCACTCACGGGGATAAAGCAAGAAAAGCAATTTTTACAAACGTTGGATGGCTTACCAGGAGTCATAAAACTTCTACTTCACCCCGTGATAAGAATGATATGCAACATAAGGGAATACAAACAATGATATGGCACTCTTTTTGAAATGTTAAAAAGCCCACCTTCAGCATTATTGGAGAAAGTCTGCGTTTTAGACTTTTTGAAAGCGACATTTGGGACCTGTTCTTCGGGTGTTGTGTTTTCAACATCTCTGAAAATGAATAGAATCATGATGCTTATAATGTTTTCAATAAACTGCATACACATTATTGTTTGTCGTGCAATCAGCAAAAGATAAATCACTCTCAGATGAATCTTCATCTTCCATATCACTATCATCACTAACTAGTTTGCTACTAGGCCACTCTTGGCTCACACTTGACGAGAAAGCTTCACAGTCAGAGTATTGAGAAACCTTCGCAGAACTTGCGCTGTTTTCTTGAACTACAGGACTGATGCACACAGAGAATGAAGTTGTTGCGAATTGGAGAGATGTTGAGTTCATCACATGTTCTACTGAAGCGGCTTCTTCGACTTTATTAAGTACTTGCCCATCATTTTTTTGAGAAGATAAATCTCTGCGTATGATTGAGTCTTTTTCAAACTCTTCGAAGAGCATCTGACGTAGGGCTTCGCACTCTCGTACTGCATTTTCTGATAATTTTCCATCTGAGTGGTCAACTTCCTTCTGTGCATCTTCTTCCGAGGCGGGAATATCTTTCAAGTTAGAATTAGACAGAGATTTAGTTGAATAGTAAGATGACACTGTAGAAGGAGAAGTATCCTCTGGGGAATTCAGCAAGTTGCTGCTGGGCTCTGGAGACTCAGTGTCGCTTGGTGTAACGTTAGTTGAGTTCGATAGCGGCTCACAATCGTCACCTTGCTTCGATTCAACAGAATGCGATGTACGATTTGCAAAAGGTCTGGATAGTACGGGGTTGGCCTCTCGACCTGATGCAAACCATTTGCAAAGAAGAGCTACGAACATAACTAAGAATAAAAACAAATCAATTTCTTCATGGAAATCAATTGGTGAGCCCAGTCTTAAAGACGACAACGGGTCGCAATTCAATGAAAGAAACGGAACGCAGAACAGCTGACGTTTGTCGTGGTCTCAAATCGTCCGCGGTCAAGACATACAAGTTGAATGATTGGATTCCTACTACAACCGCTAGAGATATCTAATAGATTTGATGACTGAGGCTTAATAGAACAGCAAGCAATCAATAGAGATAAGAACTATAGCGCGGTTAGTAGTATTCTCGCCTTGCCCACTCGAAACCTTCAGGCGTACAGAGCAAACAACAAAATGTATCTACTTATATCAGAAAGCATGGACTTGTCATTACAAGAAGATATTGTACGTACGATTAAGTACTACAATCATAACAAAACATCTGAAGAGCCCGTCGCCCTTCGTATCCCCTTCTAGACTTTCGAACACTTTCCCCCACTGCATAAGGTACAATGGTTTGTTTCATCAGAAGAGGAGATAAGAAATAGAAAACAAAGTTTCTCGCTCATGATAAAATAAAAAGAAACATACTCATAGTCGATAGATTTGTTTAAATCTTTTGAGTCATTCGCCTTGTCTTGTCCTGAGGGCTGAATGGGCAACTTAGGCTTTGCTGGAACCTGAGAACAGATTGAATAGGAAATACAAATAAAATAAAATATACAAACCTTCTTCTTGTTATTTTTTCTCTTCTTCTTCTTTTGTAAGGCCAACACTTTTTTCTCTTCTCCACCCATTGAATGAGAACTGAAAGTTGTCGACCACTCAACAAGAAAAAACAAAAACAAATGGAGCCAATACACAAGAATGCAGGAGCCAATATCGATTTTTTGAAAATTCAAAATATGCAAATTAGTGTTGGAGAGATTAATGCGATTGCACAATGCGATTAAAATGCTGGTAACGGAAGAATATTCGGGAATAAGAATGATCCCCTCTCCAAAAACTTCACTTATCAGTTGACCTGCTCTAATCTAGCGACAAGGAATTCTCGCCCAGCAAGAATACAAATTGCAAACAACAGCTAGATTATTCGTAATGATATTTCATACTCCATATTTAGAATTAAAAGGAATAACAAAAACATAAGAAAAAGAGCTTTATCCTTAAAAGCTATAGTGGTATAGAGGAGGCATCGATCTAGGGTTAGAGACGCAGGTCTGTGAGGTTCATATAAACTACGGTAGCTAAGAACAAAAATGGCATTGGTCCAAGGGGGAACGAGATACTATCAAGTCCACGTAATTCTGTAGATATTTGGCGTTTATAAGGGAGGATTGACCTTATTTTCTTTTAAATCTTTATGAAATGATGATTTTAGGCTGGTTCACATTTTCTTGGAATGTCTGGATCTTTGAAGGCAAGCTTATCCAGCGATGGTAACTTCGCGCAGCCTGATAAAGAAAGAAATACTGTTAAGCGTAAGATTGCATTGATGGGATATCCATGTGTAGGTAAGAATAGAGTTTAAGTTTTTCAAATTTCATTTGCACGCATCTAGGAAAATCTTCTATTACTATGAGGTTCGTACAGGGACACTTCCCTGATGCATACGACACCACCATTGAGGATCTTCACAGCAAGACTCACCGTTTCAATGGTAAGGAGTACATTCTCCAAATTACTGGTTAGTTTTGAAAGAGAGAGAGTTTTATAGTATTTCTTCAATTCTCAGATACTGCTGGACAACAGGAGTACTCCATATTCCCGAGAAGTTGTTCCGTTGGTATTGACGGGTTCGTTCTTGTTTATGCAATTGACGATGAGAGATCGTAAGTTTTTCTAAAATTGTCAAGGAAAAAAAATTTTCTTTAAGATTTGACATAGTTCAAAGCATTCGTGACAAGATTGTAGAGAGTGTGGGTGACGATAAGTATGTTCAAGCGATAATAAGTAATGTTAATTCGATATTGAAGGATTCCCTGTCTGTTGGTAGGAAACAAGACTGATTTGCAATATGCTTCTCGAGTCATCCAGAAAGATAGAGGAGAGAAGTTGGCAGCGTCATGGAACGCTGGATTCATGGAAATATCCGCAAAAGACTGTGATGTGAGTGAATGAATGTAGTTGAAACATGCACATGCGTTGTTTTCAGAAGGTTTCGGAAATTTTCGATAAAATTCTATACAGAATCGAGGTTGCTCGCGGCAATCTGGTGCCAAACAACAAGGGCAAATGCACAATTTCTTAAGATTCCGAGTTTCCTGTTGAGGACTGGCATTCCTTATTTTGTTGACTGTTTGTAGTATTTCTGAATATTTTAGCTTTATATATGTTGTAAATATTAATACTGTTAAGGATTGTGTGTTTCTCAGTAATGTGCTCTGATAACTTATGCCAATTTATATTTTTATGAATTTTTTTTGTATTCAAAGCTGCTTATGACGTCCATCTCGTTACCAACGATGTGATATCTCTCCCCTCTTAACACCTTATTGTACTTTAGTGTCTTTTTCTTTTTGTAGGATGACACAGGAAGGGAATAATGTATTCGTCCCTACAGTCGTGGCTCCCGCCGCCCAAACTGCCGTAGAAATCGAGCCTGATAATACCTCACCAGGTGCGCACCTTTCTCGCTCTCTGAACTCGTAATCATGAATATTATCTACAGTTTCCGATGACTCCACAAACGTCAAAATACCGGGATTACCTAAAGTGTCTGACGTTGTGTCTAAGTAAGCTTCCTGCCGTCTTTGGCTAACAGATAATCGCTTGCAGTGTTGATATTGCTCAAGTGACTGCTAAAGTGGATCAGTTGAAGAAATGGACCATTGGAACTTTCAAGAACTCACGTCAACAACTTTTAGAACAAATGGGGAAGGTAGTTTCGCAAAATCTTCCCGGATTTCTACTTGGTGCTTACAGATTGATAAGACTGTTGATCCTGAGTTCGAACAAGAATGCGAACATTTGAAAGATCTTCACAGACGTTATGGGGCCGTGGTTGTGGCTGCTCGTCAGTTTTCCAATGTACTTGTTCAACTCTCCGCTGCTGAAAAGGCCATGGGAGAAAGTTTCTACCAACTTTCTCTTAAAGAAAACATCATTAAGGTATGAGGAGAATGTGCGTGGGTGATTCATACAAGTTTGATTCAGACTCAATGTTCCTCCGTTTCCGACAACATGCGTCGTATAGGAGAACAAGCAAATTCATTAGATAGCTGCTTGAAATATTTTGTGTCTTCTATGGAGACTTTGTATTCTAAAACTATCACAGATACACTGGATACAATTTTTGGAACCGAAGCTGTTCGTTTGTAAAGTGTTTGCACTCATAAGAATTTTCTTTGAAGGCGAGAATTGAGTACGATGTATTCCGCCATGAACTCGCTGGACTGCAGTCTCAAAGTACCGCCTCTCCAACAGCCATTCAAGAGGCTCAGGAAAAAGCTGAGGCTCATAAAGAAAAGTACGAAAGTTTGAAAACCGATGTCAGAGTAAGAGAACATTGATTTTTGACTCCTCTATGTCTCTGTGATTGTAGGTAAAGCTTCGTTTACTCGAGGAAAACCGTGTCGGGGTTCTTTCGAGCCAAATGGAAAAAATCCAAAAAGCCCTTGCCGCCTACTACTCTGGAAATGCCCAGGTGCTCTCAATTGCCGTGGAAGAACTTGCCGCCATATCTCAAACCCAATATACTTCTTTCCTCTCACAATGAGCAGGAAACGTAGCAGACTCACTTACTTCTCCCAAACCCCCTTTAACATGATTGACAACTAACCCTTCTCGGCTTTTATCTTTGGTTTGCCATGGACTTAAGATTTGTGATAATTCTGTGATGCAATAATAACTTAACTAGGCATGAATGGCATAACTTGTTTGTATATTTGTAACTAAGCGAAATGGTCCTAACACGAACACGGGATTGACGGTTCTAATCTGATCTTTTCTATAAATAAATTATTTATTTTAACTTCTTCTCGAACATCTTAATTGGACAGTCGGCCAACAGTTATGAATGACTGTTATCGCTGGAAGACTAGTTCACACACACCACACATACACCTTACAGTCACAACCTTGAGTATTGTAGACGACTTGTTGAGAACGAGAGAAGCCAAGAACTAAGTTATTTCCAATTTGAAAATGATATATCTTCTTCGAATTACATGTTGAAACCAAAACTGAACAAGTTTTCTCGAAGACCGTGTTTCGGAAGTAAGATTTCTGAAGTAGCAGGTAGCGCGACTAGTTCCGCTCTCTCTCTCTCTCATATATGGAATTGGAATGGAAATAGATGTCGGTCAGCTTGTTTCTGATCTAATTTGCATAAAGTTTTCTTTGCAAAACACAATGACATGCTACTTATGATGAAGATGTCATAGTTCTGACATATCTTTGAACTTTTCCCCGTTTGTTGGGACTAATTGAAGAAGATTCTTGAAATGTGTCGAACTTTCTGTCAGCTGTTGTCTCAGAGAGCATACGAATGAGATCTATTCAGAGTTCTCTCTCCCTCTCTCTCTCTTTATCGCTCTCTCTGTGTGTCTGTGTTCCTCTTGCAAGAAAGATAGAAGAAGTGAACTTATCAAGGGATCTGTATTATTATTTGCTGTCAAATAGTGTACTCCCTGCAGTATTCTGGTGTCGTGAACGACAACATTACGAGAGCATGATATATCCAGTCGGCACAAGTGTTTTGTTTTCTGCTTTCTTTTTTAATTTTGAGGTTTTTAATACAAAAAAAAATGTTTTTTCTAATTCTCAATCATCTGATGTGGGATGGTGAAGTGATCTCTGGAGACAATGCGTAAGCATTACAGAAATGAAAGTAAATAGTATATTCAGCTCATGCGGATGAATGAAACTGACGGGGTGTAGGTAATTGGAGAAGGTGATGATCATGAGACTTTAAATAGACAGTCAGTCAGTCATTCAATAATGATGGTTACTTCGAAGAGGAAAAGAACTACTAACCGGACAGATCAAATTGATTTATTTGTCGCTTTTGCGAATCTCCCCATTTGACGATACCTGGCAGACAAAGTTCGTTATAGAGTGTTGAGTTTACTTGTCTCTTAGTCACAAACTTTAATGAAGTCGTAATATGAGTCACTTTTGTAATTCGACAGTTCTTTTGCTCTTGACTCTTCTTCCACGTAGCCCCCTCCATCATCTTTTTTTTCTTTTCACCAGTTCGATTATTGATCATAATGACAAATGGAACTGAATATAATTTTTTCCCTGATTACGTCACACGCATTTCCATTCGTCCGTAGAGGTATTTTGACCTTTGTCAAACTGAATTCATTCATCAGCTCTCTTCCAATGCGAAGAAGACCACAACGACGACGACGTCGACCACGATGATGAAGATGACGATGGAAATGAAGAAGAAGGTGAAACGTCCGTGTCTTTGAGACATCACCATCAATGACATTGGCTAAAAACAAATGTAAATGTAACGAACAATTAGATGCAGTTTATAACGAGAAAAACAACGACCGTTTCCTTTTCTCTCTCTCCATCTCTCTCTCTCTCGCTCTTCTCCCTCTCACGACTGCCTTTTATCAATTTCACTAAAAATAATTCTTCCAAATAAGGTTATTAAGGCTTTGCTTGAAGTAATCAATTTGTGTCTTTTGAAAAACCTGTTTCATCACTCGTTAAGTCCTTTAAGAGTAAGATTATATCAGATTTTCCTTTTTTTTTTGTTTTTCTCATTTTTCTTCTCATCATTCCATGTAGTTCATGAAATGGAGAAGAAATTACAATTTTCCTTTGTTTCTGTCGCCATTGCCGTCGTTGGCCCTGAATGTCACTCGAGGGCTTTCTTCTCTCCTACTTCACCTTCGTCCCATTCTTCCTATTAATCATACCAATTCCCCCCTCTGTTTCAAAGTTTTCGTTTATAATTGTATTTGAACTTAATCCCAGACCGGAATTTTGTTAAGAAAAAGCTTTCTGTATGTATGTTCACGTGAATGTATGTGTGATCGATAATCATCATCATCATCACTTTTCGTGAGCAAACAGCGCAGAGAAAAGATACCGTTGCAGCTTGATCGCTTTTTTTCATATTTGCCAACTTTCACTGAGGAAGTCAATCTGAATTTGCGTAGAATAAACTTCTCTATGACTATATTGGCAGGTAGAAAAAAGGTTGAAAAGATGAGAGAGAAAGAATGAGAGAAAGAGGATGGAAAGTTCGTTTCTAGGACCATTAGACCTGCAATGCAGCGTTACCACGGGTTTCGATTGAGCTTACCATGAGCAACAAGAGTCCTAAGAGCTGAAATGCTTGCCACCATAGAGCCAAACAAAGCCCCAGATTTGAGAGGTTGATGGATGATTGCAACAAAAGAAGTTAACATGTTATGGATAAAGTTCCAGACAGCTCTTCACCAATCCAAAAGCAGATAGCAGGAAAAGCTGAAAATAAGAGATAAACTGAGCATTTCGAACGACTTGCCGTTATGAATGAAGAGGTTGGACTGTTGAACAGTAGTAGTTACATGTGATTTCTTTGTGTGTATCTCCTTTCGTCGCTTTCTTTTCTTTTTTGCCGACCTTCTTCTCGTTTCAACTCGTTTCTGACTCTCTTTAGAGCATTTATTTGAAAAGAAAACATGACGAACAGGCAATCAGATATTGACAACTTCAGAACAACTTGCCATCTCCAATGTTTTTCGAACTTTCAAACTTTTTTCGTTCATTTCATGCCGTCGAGTTGCTATTCACTACTGCATACATCTAATTATAGGTTATGTTAGCTTAAAACGATTGTGTTACTCATATCATCCGACATACGATGACATCATCACTCACTCGACGACAAGATTCTACTTGTAAGTTTTCCTTTCTTCAAGAGTTTCTATCCTAGACCTTCTCCTGTTCATCTTGTTCTTCTCTTCCAGACAAGATTCTTGACTCCTTCAAAACTGATTACTCACCCGTACCAACCAATGTAAGTTTTGCTTATTTTTACTCTTATTGTCAATTCTAATTTCCATTCGAACAGCCTTCCTACAGCTCATTCTCTTCCTCTCTCTCTCTCTCTATCTCTCTCTCTCTCTATGCTTTCACTTCCATAAACTGAAATTGATTTCTCAAATGAGCGTTTGTTTCCTTTATTTCCTATTTCACTTACGTTATTCATTCATAGGGTCTCTTGGAAATTTCTTTATTTCAAACCAAATTCCAATCAAATTTCTTACATTCATTCCATTTCCAGTCAGTCAAAGTTTATATTTCTATCGCCATCTGCTACTCTATAAATACACATAGACATACGTTCGGCTTAACCCATAAATAACATAGAATCCTGCTTACCTCATAAGCCAATATTTCCGGATGTTGACCTGCTGCTGACTTACCTCATTTCAAAACCTGCTGGCTATGGTTGGCACCAATTTGTGTTTTTTTTTCCAAATCATACTCTTCAGTCTCCCACCATGACACCTTTACTCTTCTCCAGACGTCAAAATGCGTCTCCTCCCACCTTGCCCCTCATTCAAACATCTCCCTCCACACCTTCCATTCTGTTTATGTTTTTCTAGAATCTTGTCTTCTTCCTCCTTTCTCTCTCTTTTTGTTTTTTCAATTCATTCCAGTGTGGCTATTCATAAAGTCTATTCGAAAGCTATGTCTAATGAGATTGTGATTTATTGTATTTCTTTAAAAAATGTATTTTGGCCATCATCCGTGCTCCAATCAATCAATATTCATAAGCACATTCAAATTTACGCCGAAATCTTGCGCGCAAACGCATGTGAGGTGGTTATGGGGGAGATGGGCGGCTACTGTTTTCATTTTGAGACTTACTGCGTTGACGAACGGTCGTATTTTCGTGATTGCATTGTACTCTCTTGTCTTCTAACTGTTACTGTTCAACGTTGTCATTGTTCAGCCGCATTATCTGTAACTGTTTTATTGTTTAGTTTCATTTTATCACCGCCGATTTTTTGTTGAGAAGTAGAAGCCAGAAATCATCTGTTGCGTTGTTTATTGTTCGAAGAGTGATGTGGAAAAAACTTCTTCGGGCGAAAAATCCAATTTTTCGTAGATTGGAGGTAAATGGATGGAATGAATGCTGTTGGTTCTAATATCCTTTATCTAGCGTGCAGTTTTTCCCCCCTTCTCTCCTCTCTACACACATTAATGGCTTTCAATTTAACATGATCTTTTCATGATGTTTTAACTAGTGAGCCATTCAAGGGCTCTAGCTTCTCTTACAGCTTTCATCTCTCTTCTAATACATTCTCACCTCCTCTCCTCTCCCTCTCTCCCTCCTTCTCATCTATTCATGTTCGCTGGAATGATGATCAATCAGCTAGCAGATATTCGAAAAATTATACTTATTTTGAGAGAATTACGCGTGTTTCGCTAGAGCCTCTCAATTGTTTTCATAGTTCTGGACATTTGTTTTCATTTTCATTTCAAACGACGTTTGGAACTTAAAATGTATTTATATATTGCTTTGACTAGATGACTTTGCTTTTCTTCTTTCCCATCTACAAGGTACAATCTATCTGGTTTCACGTATTTGGCTCTTAATCTGCTGCTGTTTCAGTTTCCATCCTTCCCTCCACATAGCTTTTCTCCTCTCTTTCATCATTTTCATATTTTTGTTTATATGACCGCAGAAGTGTCTAATACCGCTTAGCATGTACTCTCTCTTCCTTTTTTTTTCTCCTTTTTATTATTATTTCACAACACACATCCATACTACACACGACTGATTCTCTCCTCCTCCCTCCCTCCCTTCTGCGTCCTCCATTCTCTTTGCCAAGGTTTAATACTGTTTGAAATTTTAACAAAATACATATTTATTTATATATATTTATATATATATATATATATGTTCATAGAAGGCTCTTTCATTGCTATGATTCATTCTGTCCAGATTGAAATGAGTATTGTAGGTTTATTGCTTTCACGTGGATAGTTTTCCATCTCACTTCCTTTTCATAATTTATCCGATGAATCACATTTCGCAAGTGATGTACATTCACCTTTCTCATGATCATTCTTTATGCTGTTGCGGCCTGAAAAAACAATGAAAAGTTTGTATTTTCAGAGAACAGATAGGGAAGAGAGAGGGATAGAGATGAACATATTAAGAGTTTGAGAGAAATGAGACTTTAGTCAGCTAGTAGTTGAGTGGAGAGAAAGTGTATGTGTATGTGTGTGTGTATGTGTGTGTGTGTGTGTGTGGAAAACTCCATGCAATAGTTTGGTGGAGAGAATTCAGTCAAGCATGATCGAATGTCTCAAAGCTTCACAATGGGATGATATTCTGTTTAGCGACGAATCTTCGTCGTCTCTGTTGCGACGTTGACTGCTAGATGATCGTCATTAACCGGGCAGGGGAGTGACGCTGACAACGTAACGCATGAATGTCGATTAGTTTGATTGTAAATGAATAATTGACAAGAACGACGAGAAGTGTACGCCGCGGATAAGTGAAATATAGAGGAGAAGATAGATTTGGTCAGTGGTGACATCTGAATCCTTGTAAGGATATTACTTGGCCTGTGCTCTCTCTGTAGTTAAATCGAAAAACATCAGCTGTTGCTGAGTTGAACGATGCAGGAGAGAAAGGGTGAGAATGAAGACTTTAAAGTAGTACGCGAAGAGAGCATCCTAGAACAGACGGGACCCTTCTCACAGACTTCTGCCGACTAGCTTCTTCAACGATCGCATTCTCCGTGTATATCTCTGCTTCTCTAATGTTTCTCTTTAATATCCAATCTTTTGTCTCTTTCATCTTTTCTCTCTTGTTTCCGACTCTGCTTCTATGCAATCTGACATTAGTCTAACCCCTATAGACGAATGGAGGGTCCCGCCCGTCTCGTCGTTGTCTCGTTTCGTCAATGTCCGGATACAAGTAGAGCAAAGCTTCTGTTTCTCATTTGGTTCGCTTGCCATACTTTCTCATCTCATTTTTTTCTAATTTAATCGGTCCTATCATTTGAGCAGTGGCAGCACTTGTTTCTTCCAGCTTTCCAATTGTTTTTCCCATGATTAGTCGGCGATTGGCATTTTTTGATTTCTTGGTTCCATCCCTTTTCTGGGCCTCGGATAGTTTCAACTTGACAGAAATCAATTCTCTTGTTTGAATATCTGCCTTACGTTGTCTCAACGTGTCAGCCAGCCAGTTTCGTTAGCGAAATTCTCATACCTCCTATCTCTTATATCACTTCGTTTGTTCCTTTCTCTGTCTCATCTATCACCATTTCTTCCTTTCTCAATCCTTTCCTTCTCATTAACTCTTAAGCTCTTCATTTTCTTCTCTTTAGTCTTCTCCTTCTTTCGCTCTTCTATCATAATTCTATGGTTAGGATTCTCCAAGCCGCATGCCTCATTCAATATCATTGCAGACGTCTTCATCTAACTCGTGCGCAAGCACAAGTCACAGTTCCCAATATTTGAACTTGACATCTTCTGCTGCTGATACTTCATATTCGACGTGTTGTCATAGCCGATCTAGTAGTTCCAGCGATCCTTTATCTTCTAACACCGCCTCTGAGGTTATAATCGGTTGTAGCGAACCTGAACCGAAGACTTCATTACGTCCCGGTGGAGGAGGTGGTGTAGAAGGAGGAGCATCAAGACCCACAGGAGCGACTAGGTGGGCGGATCCTCGTGGCAGTTCAACTGCCGTTTGTCGCATGGTCGCCACCGTTCCCTTTGAGCCATTAAAATGGGCTTTCCTCCTGATCTATTTAGTGGTTGCCGGTCTATCTAATTGGGCCGTATTGGCTTATACCCATGATTATGTGCCTAGGTATGTTTACATTTGATTCAAAGAATTGTTAACTAACCAAGTTAGATTACTCTGATTGCCATTTGCTCTATCTCACTCATTGTCTTCTCTCAGCCATAACTTTCCATGAACTTCATTCCTCCATGTTGTGTATGTATGTGTGTGGTGATGTTACTGGCAACGAAATGATCATTGTCGGTGATCATCATCGTTCACGGCAAGAAATTGCTTTCAGCACAAGTTCTTTGCTTTGCCCCGTTTTTTTCTTCTTCTGCCATCTTCCTTCATTCGTTTTGAATCTTTTGATCGAAGCCGTGACTTGTAATGCTTCGTTCTCTCGTGCCCATTTGACACAATATAAGCCTTGGCGACAAAAAATATCGGAAAGCTTCTCTGAAACAGCTGTTTGCCGAGGATCTCATGGCGTTCACGTGAATATTTAACTGTTATTTTTGAAATTTACTCATCAATACTTCATAAATATTCCTGTCCTGTGTTTCCACATAATTCTGTGTGGCCAACGCATATTTTCGTTGTCATTTGCTTTCTGATTCCTGCATGCCTCCGTCTCGTAACGAGTCAATCGTCGTCTGTTTTCATTAGCTGATCATCTTAATTCGTTCTTGAACTAACGAAAACTTATTTCTTTTTGCGACAACTTTCTTAATTTGTAATTATCTGCGGTCTTCCGCCCCATTCTGGCCAAACGTTGTGACGAACAGAGAGTGAGACACACATACACAGCATAAGACAGGCAAATAAAAAAAAACGATCCATTCATGGAACTTGTTGAAATAGAAAGTTCTGCTGCCTTTGCTTCTCTTCTGATCTACTTTGGTAGTGTTGAAACAATGAGACCAGCAGAGAAAACAAATTGGATTTATATACAACATAGAACGGTTAGCAAGACTTATCTCATGTCTGCGATCAAACATTAGAGAAAGAAACTTCATTCAGAGCTTCAAAGAGCTCTCTCTCTTCCTCTCTCTCTCATCTCAGCTGTGTTCGATTGTGAGTGTGTGCCACGCATCCGGACCAATAATACCATCGCCCTCTGAATCTTTTTCTTTCTTCTGTGCAGAAGCTTTTTATATGTATTTTGCAAAAATATTTGTATGTCCGTCTAGTAAATAATTATGTTTTGAGCTTCCACCAAATATGAAGATGATGAAGAAGAGGCAGAAGCGTTGGGATGTTCAATAATTCCATTAAAGGACACATACCCAGCCATACACAAATATATATATATAGATAGATAGATATGAGACATCGAAATCTTTCAAAATATGTCTTTTCCAGCTGTCCAAAGTACTGAAGGAACAGATAGATAGAGAGAGAGAGAGAGAGAGGGGGGAGGAAGAGGGTTAGTGAATGAGGAAAGCTACTCAATTACTTCCTCTTCTTTTTTTTTCTGTTTGTCTTTTTTGTGGTAAAAAAACACCCCCGGTGATTAGGTTACAATGTTTTTTCTTCTCAAACTTCTAATTCGTTGCTTAAAAGATGAAAAAATAAGTTTTCAAAGGAAAATAAGGCTTGTTATGCTCCCTCTCTCTCTCTATCTCCGTCCCTCCCTCTATCGAACTTTCCCTCCATCCAACTCTCCCTCCCTCCCTCCCTCTCTCTCTTACAATGATTCAAATCCATATTTGTTTTCTTTTTTTCACATTTTGTTGAAGAAAAAATATTGTTATCTGATCTCTGATGCCATCACCCCACAACCTAATTCGAAATAGAAACATGGGTGTGTGTGAGGGCGGCGGGTCGCGGGGGCATATGCTGCTGTGGCATGCATTCCTTATTTGTTTCTTAGAGCCTTTTAAGTAGTTTCTGAAATATTTAAATGTATTAAAGCGCCGACGGCTACTCCAACCACTAACAAAAGACACATTTCAGAGACCCATTGCCGGATATCATATTTTGGCTTGTACCAGAACAACAATGGGCAACAGCATGGGGGGATTTAATGGTTACTTTGTGCCTCCTATGTCTTCTAGTTCTTCTATTTTTCCACGAACAGCGTATAGTTATCGCTAGGAGAGTCATCTTTATAGCTGCCACTCTTTATGCTATGAGATCGTGTACTTTAATGGTCACGCAACTTCCATCCGGTAAGGGATTTTCTATTTTTAAACGTTACGATCTCTCTCTCTCTCTTTCTCCCCTTTGGTCTCTATCTCACAACTAAGCTGATTTGTGAAGTTTGTCATGCGACAAGTTTTTCTCACTTCAATCTGTTTTTGAATGACTTTTACTGGCAGATTATGCTAACCAATCTATTCTCCCTCTCTCTCTCTCTCTGTTCTCATTCATTGCCGTTCTCTCTCTCTCTCCCTCTCTCTTATTACTTTCTTTATTCTTCTCTTCTACTGATCTCTTGATAATGCCCTGCCAGCTATCAAGTTTTCCCATTTTCGGATTTGTTCATGACTAGTTCGTGGCTCAGCTCCAAGTTCTATTACGAGGAAATAAAGTACAAAAAGAAAGTTCGCCTGAAACATTATCATCTCAAAATTTATCTGTTTGTTCATGCTCTTTGACAGAATTCCGGATCTGCTCAGCGATTAGGCAAGGTGACGGAGCAACAGTACTTTGCTCAATCTCAAATCCGGTCTCTCGTAACTATTTATGTTCTGCCAACGTTCTGCGTCTACTTTCGTTTTCTCACCTTCTTTTCTCGTTTTCAAATTCTTCTTCACAATTTTCTCCTAACCCCCCAACTTTCATAGGGATTCAAGTATGCGTGAAACATTATGTCTATTATTATAGGATATGAAAATAATACTCAACGATGTCGTGAGCGACTGGACAGTCCAGACATTCAGACGTTCTTTGAGCGCTTAGGTGAACAGACGCTTCGACTTGGATTCCAAGTGAGTTTCAATCAACGAAAATTCAATGATCTCAACATTTGTTTCTTCAGGGAGGAACGCAGATGTTATGTGGCGATTTGTTGTTTTCCGGTCACACCTTAGTCATGGCAAGTTACATAAGCAACAGATGAAGCTCATCCTGCAATCTGCTTCAGATTGTCTGTACTATAACAGTAGCCTATTATTTACCGAATCGATGGCGTTTGCTTCAATGGATTCCAACGATCTTTTCCATATTTGGAATGAGCTGTATGGCCATCTCCAGAACACACTATACCATAGATATCATAGTAGCATATTGGTTAACCAACTTCATATTTAGGTGAGTCATGACTAAGTCTTACTCTTACTTACACATTCTATGTTGCAGAGTCTATCATGCTTATTGTGAGGTTGACATTTATATTGAACGACGTAGGTCTGTCTTGCATGATTTGTGGCTTTGCCGTGTAATTGCTTGGCTGGAGGAGTCTATTGTTCCGGGAAAGTACGTTTCTTTTATCTTTTCTTGTTTACGCAATTCTTTAAATATCTTTCGAAAAAAGAAAAGAAAGAAAGAGAAAAGAAGAATCAAAGAGTATGAAAGGTCATTGATGTGACCATTCACGTGTTCATGAACAGCATGAACAGCATGCACTCATGTTGGGCTTTCAAGAAAAAAGCTTTTCTTCCTCCAAAAATAACAAAAAGAAAACATGGTTGTTGTTTCTCGTTGTAAGCTTTCTTTGTGTTTCAGAATCGAAAATCGCTTTACCATTCCGTTTTCCCATTATCTGAGAGCACCAGGGCACCACAAGCAAATATCTATTGTAAGTTAATACATTCTCTTTCTTCGGCTTCTTACATTTTGGTCTAACTGGTGTTTTGAGTGCTGTACACTCTTGAAAGCACAAGTAACTTCTTCTTCTTTTTTATTTTTTTTTTAAAAAACAACTTTCAAAGCCCCTTAGCTAGTTTGCTGTCCTTACAGAGCTCATCCTCTACATTCAATCAGGCTTAATCCGCGCAATTATACACACATCTCCATCATCTCGTCTTCATCATGATCTCTGAAAATGTACTGTGGCCGCTGCTCGCTTCAACTTGTGTGTGTAGACAAGACATTTCATGCCAAACGTAGTCAATGTGTAAGTCATTTTGTGAAAGCAGTGTTGACGTTATTACGAGTTTCTGTCTTCTTTCGTCTCCATTCTCCTATTCATGTACATAAGCGAATATACTTTTCTGAGAAGAAACTCTTTAGTCTCCTTTCTTAGAAATTGAGCTCAAGCTTGATTTTCAAGTGTCATATCTATTGGTGATACAAGTCTCAACTATGATTTTCCCCTTCTCTCCCCCCCTCCCAGCTTTTTTCCTGCTCAATGTTATACCGTTATACTTGAGAAACTCTCCCCTAATAATCAGGATATATCTGTGATCAAACGTTTTCTTTTCTGTTTATGTGATCGTTATGTTGTTACTAACTATCAATAAAAATTCAAATTTTCATATTCTATACTATGCATTCATGAAATACAAGACGAAACAACCAATTCATGTTGTCCATCGTTCGCTTTCAAAGCAATCCTTCCTCCCATCGCCTTCATCATCACATTCCTAATTGCCTCTCATCACAATAAGACTGTTGCGGTTGTAAAGGAAGTCTCAGTTGTCAGAATTCTCACATCTACACATATTAGTTTTGTCTTCAAATGAAGTTTGAAGAGGCCATTAATCTCTACAAAGAGCTGCGCGCTCAATTCGATCAGAGACAGGTACCCACAGTATGGCTCATCAGCCAACCCGACCTTTCAGATTTTGAAACGCGAATTTGAACTTTTCATTCGTTTTGAAGAAGAGACATACAGTCTTTGGGGACTTTATCAGCAGGCTGTTGTTGGAAACATCAATGTTCCGAGTAAAATCGGATGTAATTCGTGGATATCCTCCTCTTTTGCAGAAATGGATTATCAAGACCCTCGAGAAATGTCTTGGATGTGGGGTTGGATTCATGGTAACCGTAAATGGCATGCATGGAATCAGAAGAGAGGTGGGTGTTATGACAAATGAGAAGAAACAAAGTTGTTAGGAATGAGCAAGGAGGAAGCAGCCGATACATTTGTGAAGGAAGTTGTCAGTCTCAAAGAACGGTTACCCAAATTGCTGAAACGATGGAAAGACGAACAAGATCCAAGCATACCAGAAGCTGATTTAGAGAAAGACTAATTTATTTTCATTTTTTTCTATTCCTTCATTATATTGTATGAGTGATGATGATGATGGTCATCCACAGCATCCTTGCACAGCAGGACTGAGGCCACTTCTCTTCGTAATTGATAGTTTGACGATTTCTTCCGAACTGCATGGATGAATAGCCACAGTTCCTGTCATTCCATATTCATTTGTATGTTCAGTATTGTTCACTAACCTATGATATCATCGAACGTGATTCCTTTTCTTAAAGCAACGGCATAGCCTTGGATTATTTCTGCAGCATTTGGACTGACTATGTGTATTCCTAATACAGTTTTCGGTTCATTTCTCATACAGATCACCTTGAAGGTTAATATCTCAGGAAGACTTTCATACTTCAATCTACCTTTGTATAACATTCTGAACGATCATCGTCTTGAGGGACAACAAATTCAAACGGAACAAACTCTGAATGATAAACCTGCAAGAAATATTTGTTTTCGTTCAGTGTGTTGTTGTCACCTCAATTGCATCCTCGCCATAAGTACTCAGGGCTTCCTGCTCTGTGAGACCTACAGTTGCCAGTTCCAAAGGTGTAAACACTGTTGTTGGCACCTACGAGTACGTTGAATGATTATAAAATCTGTAAATACCTGATCATAGTTCATCAGTGCATTTGAATTCCCATACAAACGTCCGGCCAGCAACTGACCTGCCATTATAGCTGTAGGAGTTAACTCTGGTCTTCCCTAAGACACTACACCATTGCCTTTTCACCGCTATGATAGTACCTGAGATATATCTCCCAAAGCATACACTCCATCAACATTCGTTTCATCTTTCTCATTAACGACTATTTTATTATTATGCGAGAGTTCCAAGTTAATGCGCTCTAATGCTAATGAGTGAAGTACGGGCTGACGGCCTAGTTGTATAGATTTCATAAGATGTTACAGAGGGAATGTACCTATAGCCCACATGACTGCATCGCATTCTTGTACCGAACTGTTGGTGAGTGTTACCTAGAAGCCGAGGTCTTATCAGTTACCAAACTCAACAAACTTCTAATCGGTCTCCCGACTTCTTAACTTTCTCAACCTCGGAGCCTTGTACGAAGTTCACTCCATGTTTCTTCATATTTAATATGACTTTGCTGACACAGTCCTGAATCATCGCATTATGATGAAACTGAATCTGTTCCTACCTTATCGAATTCTTTCAACGGCTCTGATCGTATCAGTACGTCAACGGAACATCCAAAGCTGTTAAGAAAGCCAGCTGTTTCTAAAGCTATGTATCCCCCGCCAACTACTATTATACGTTCAGGGATTTTTTCCAACGTGAATATATCATCAGAAGATATACCTAAACCTTTGAATGAGAAACTTCTTTTAGAGCAGCTTTACCGAGATGTGCTCCTTCTATCTGAGGGTATCGGGGTCTGAGCCCAGTTGCGACAACAACATTCTGAGCTGTCAGAGTTTTCTTAAAAGAATGGTCTATTGGTTTTTCTGAACCCGTCTTACTTCCACTTTCTTTTTTCCTCCCTGAGTCACTCGCACAGTATTCTTATCAACAAATGAAGCAAATCCATTGATATAGTTGATTTTCCTGAATTTCTCTTTCTCTCATCTATAATGCCAATTGAGTTTGACTCACTTTTCGTTCAACTGCACGCGATACACCCAATTGTTTGCTTTGACACGATCATTAACTATTTGAGATAATCGTTTCCTGCACATGACAGCTATTATATGAAAGGCATGCATAGTTACCAATCAAACTCCAACTTCTCAGGTATATTTCCGTATCCATACGCATGAGCTTGTTTAACTGTTTTACCAACAAGAGCTCCTGTATGCATTAGCTTCTTTGGAATACACCCTACATTAGCACACGTTCCACCAATTCCCCATGTTGTCCCATGCGGAGAAGCTTCAACAGCGTCAATTAATGCTACTCGTGCTCCTAAATCTGATCTGCAATTCAATTGGTAAACATTTGGCACAGTCGAGAAAACAAACGCTTTCTTTGAGAATGCCAGTCCACCTGATCCAGCGCCAATGACTATGACGTCATAGTGAGAAGATGTAGTTGAAGCTTAAGAAATATTGAATAACGTGGAGTATCTAATGACTAACCATATAACTTGGAGAAAAATGTGAAACCCTTCGTAGCACGTAACATATACAACTCAAAGGATTATGCTTATCAACTTCAACGTTTTCATAGAAAGTAGGTGCTTGATGCTAACTGGACTTGACATTCAACACAATTCAAATCGAATACTTTCATTAAAGACACTGAAAAAACAAACAAAATAGAAGACAGAAAGGAATTTCTTAAATTCAACCGAATCTTAACAACGCTCAGTCAGATATGTCCTAGGATATGCTAATGAGTTACTAACGACGACGTGGCATCAAAATTTAAAACTGATGATGGACAGTTGATTCGCTCAATTCAAATGTTATTATCAAAGGCGCATTCGTTTTAATTGAAATCTCATCTTGAATCGGTTCGTTGGAAGTCGAGATTAGGTTGCCGAAAGCAATAGACTGGTTCTCTATAAACATAACAAGATGATGGATTTGAAAGTTAGGAATGATTACTTAGATCCCAGCGATACCCACTGGTTGTGACGATTGTCTCTTCTTGACTTATCGGGATAAATCCACACGACTTGGTTAAGAGACTACGATCAATGTTGATCTTTGTGGTTCCCTAGGAGAATGTAATGGTCTTTTGAACATATCAACTCTGTACGAACCGGCAAAACTAGGAAAACCAAGTTACGATCATCTACAATGAACAATCGTTTGTCCGTTAACCGCTGGCACAACAGACAGGAATTGAGAACAGAGAGAATATGGTCGAATCTTCCATTGAGACCTCCGAGAATGATAACCTCTTTAACCTGAGAAGGAAAGAAATCGTTTTTCCAAGTGTTGATAGGGGACAACCTCTGGCTTCTCCTTAAGTTTCTCCAAGAGAACTTCCAGAACTTTCGTCATATCAGTCTTATTCTCGTCAGGCAGATGCATGATCTCGATATTCTCTTTCTCAGCAAGGACTACATCTTCCTCCTTGACAGAATCAAAATCGCCACCAACAAAAGTTGGCAATAGAAAAGAATCTCTAAAACTTGAATGAATGACGGAACGAGGGAATGATGCAAACCTTTCGATTATTAAACTGAGAGCTCCATCAGTAGCTGCTCGTATCTTACTGTTATTCCATAAACTTCTCCAGATGGGTGTTTCAACAGGCTTACCATTAAGGTATAAACAGGCATAATTATCAGAGGCCCTTTGAACAAAAAGATGTTGAATATCAACGACAGCAGTCATTTCACGGAGACGCTTCAACTGACCAATTAGACTCAATCAAATCAATCGATAATGATAGTCAATAGATGCATGCGTTTGAACAAGCACGCAATGGAGATTGAATGAATTGGCACGCAGGGTGAGAGAGTTGATCGGATGTCAAAACTTTAAACTTGTCGGAATGCAACCGCTGTGTACGGCAAGCAAAGTAAAAATGAAGATGAACGGAAAAAAGAGAGGTTTATTCGTGATGGGGAAGTAAACCAAATTCACCAAACTAGGAAAGAGTTATCTCTATGTTAACCTTAATTCATAGTTAATAAAAATATAATCTAATTATTAAAAAAGCTCTGGCTACGCATAGAGTGAGAATCTCATGATAAAATAAATATTCACCGACTGTGGGATAATGGTCTAGTCCATCATCCTGCAAACGCAATCAAATGAATCTAATAAATTATGTTAAATGTCTTTGCTTTAGATAGATGCGAAGAGAGAGACTACGATTTGTGGAATCAAAGAGCCCAATATACAAATACGATTAATCTGATAGTTAGGTTAATGCTGACAAACTACAGGTTTTCCTCTAATTCTCTCTCTTCCTCCAATATTTTCTCGAACGAGAATGGTTGGAAAGCATGTCCGAGACCTCCGTAGAACTTAGATTGGAATTCCACCCTGAAGAGATAAGTGATTATATATCTTTTACAACTGGAACTGACCAGTGAAGACGGAGAGCATGCAAGAAGGCCGAAAGTCCTTCCATCAGTACAAGGATGAACACGGACAGCGATCCAAAAATAAAGAATAGGAAATATGTGGCGATTGCTCCAGCATATCCATCAAGCGTGAAAGCATGACGGAATACCATAGTCCACAATACATCAGAAAGTTCTGAAAAGCATACATTTATTATTCTGAAAGTTTTCGACTGAACATACGTGCATGGGCTAATGAAAGAGCCCAAAGACGAAGATATGAGGCAGTGTGGGAAATGCATCCCAAAACGAACTCAATAGTATGAATAGCTTGGTAGACCATGAGATCAGCCATATCCAACTGTAAACAACTCATTGATATTTTTCATGATTTGGAAAAGCTTACGGGTCCATCACCATGGCCGTGTCCTCCAGCGTCAGACTTAGGTTCATGATGAACTACTTCAACCTCTTCACCGTTAATATCAGCTCTAACGCTCTGAAGACACATAATCAGAAAACAAAAACAAATCAAATGAATCATCCCATCACCAACGTTATCTAACAAGCACATGCAGACATCTTTGAAATGTTATTAAAAGTTGCTCGATGCAGCAAAATCTTTTGGAACAGGCACAACACAAGCACTACATAGAGCAAAATACCGTTCTTGGACGACTGCCGAAATTGTACTGATTGATCGCTGTTCAACTTTTATTCTCGAAAGAAAAGTGCGCTCTCGTTTGCAAAAATTTTCAATGGTTTGGACTAGAACGGACCTCTTCGTTTAAAGACTCATACTGTTGCTGCTTAAGAAGCCTTCTGCGGAGCAGAAACGGTTTGGCACACAGCATAATAGGAACTTGAACGACAGCTAGGATCAATAGTACAAGTTCGACTGACGCCTGTAAAAAATATAATTATTACGAACCAATTGCTGATGTCCAGCAGTGCGACGATCTTTGTCAGCTTTCCAAAGCATATAAGGTTTACCGAAAAGCATGACTGGTACGCACGCGAGTGCGAGCAGTACAAAAACTGTTTCAAAGAAAGACTAAAAATATAAGTAAAACGCATTTTCCATGAGAATCCAGTGAATGATTTGTGGAAAAGTTGTATGTATGCTATACCTGTCCAGGATACCATAAGTTCAGATAGCAGAGTCCCAATTGAGCTCCTCCAGGTTCATTTCCTTCCACATATCCACCGTCACGAGACTTCATCATGAACATATTAATTAAGCCAATAAGCAAAGATGGGGCGCAATTAGATCCTGGGTAATAGTATCCAAGAACAGTAGTTCCTCCCTAAAAGACATTCTTATCAACCAATCATCTATGGTCTTCACCTCGGCAGTGAAGAAAATCCATTTAGCTATGATTTGGAGACATAGGTAGATGAAAATTGCACTCAAGAACAACATTTGAGGAATGAACATGAATTTGATGTCAAGATCGGAATGGAAATATCTGAAAGCAGAGAGAAGGATGAATGTAAGAGAAAAGGTTCCTGACATGTGGTTATGGTAACTCAGAATGATACCAAATGTCATCTGGCCAATTCCAAGAAGAACAGACGATTTCATTTTCATGGAGTTGAGGAATGAGAGCTTGTTGGATTCAGCCAAGTTCCATACTGGATCTACACCAATAGGATATGGACCAGAAACATTCTGAGCTTATATGATTAGCACAATAAGAGGAGATAATGCTTACGTCATAAGCCCATTCAGGGATCAACATTATATTTTGCTCAGGGTTATGAAGTGATTTCAAGTATTCCTGACTGAATGGATTCGACCAAGCAGATCCGAAAATATTGAAACTCTTGGAGAACATATCATTGTAAAGGAATCCAGTGTAGATGGAAAATGCTCCCATAAGGAAGATAACATAACGGCCACCAAAGAATGTTTGGAAAATCTAGATAGTTCATTGTGGATTATTATCAGACATGCTCTTACTTCATCCTTTATTCTTGCAGCCTCTAGTTGCTTCTCCTTCATGATAAAGAAAAGAGCGGCCAAGAGCATAAGAGCACCATGTCCCATATCACCAAACATGACAGCGAACAAGAAGGGAAAACTTATCATCGTATAAGGTGCTTCAAACAAAGGAAATTTCAATTTTTATGGAATGAATCCAAACCTGGATTGATCTCTCTGTATGTCGAGATACCATAGGCGTCCACAATTCCTTGGAATGACTTGGTGAACTTATTAGTCTTGTGGTACGTAGGAGGTGAAGCTGTAGTCTCCATTCGGTTAAGAATAGATGGAACTTGACTTCCACTCTCTTCCTGTTATTACAAAGTAATACTATGAAATGCAAATGGAGTAATACCGTTCCTCTCTTGAGAGCCATTCGGATTCTGTCCAACTCCTTAACGGGACACCAAACTTCGGCAATCAGACATTTCTTAAAGTATTACAACTATACAAGACACGTGTTATCTTCTCAAGTACCTGAGTGACGTCGATATTGAATAAGTTGAGAGTGTGGTAGATGGACTTGATCTTACGGACCTTGGTAAACCACATACGTACATTCTTTGAGGCTGCCACCTAGAACCAAATGCATATGATATTTGACTCAATCGAAATTTCTACCAGAACACGATGACGATGGTCCTGAGTTTGCCCCAAGACAGTTTTCAAGTCTTCAATACGAGTCATAACTCCAATGGACATTTCTCTTCTCTCCTGGTTGGTATCAGGGCATGGATATAACGTTGCACGGAAACTAAAGAGCAAAAAATGAGGCTGTTGAGAAAGACTAGACGAACCCTTCGCAGATCTTCTTAACCTTAGTCTTCAATTGATCTCCTTGGAAGAAGATGATGAAAACAGTTTTGTTAACAGGTTCTCCCTTAATAAGTAGTTCGATAGAAGCGTTAATGGAATAATATATCATACCGTGACTGTGTCATTGAGAACATCATCAATCTCGGAAGTTCGGAGGAAGACGTTTCCTCTGCAAGCTCTCCAGAGTAAACGCTCGAAAGCAGGGAGACGCTCTCTCTGGATAACACCAGCAACAAATCTAAGAGCGGACATTGAGATTAGGTAAAGAACGAAGGCACAATATCAAAACTTCACAACATCTGTCAAAGAACAAACATAGCTCAAACACTACGAAACGTCTTGAATGTTTAGATGAGAACAGCAAAATAAGATAATTAATAAGCTTCATACCGTAATTGAAGCTTAAGTGGCGCATGGTCAGATTGATGAACTGCGAGCTCGTATTCGTCCGTCGATTCCGAAGAAGCCAGAAGGTCTTCATGCTAACAACACGACATATATTCAAACGTTACACTACTATATTGTAAATGGATGGGGGTTGACTAACATTGTTTCGTGCTGGGATAACAGTAGTTAGACATCTAACACATGACATGCTAAGAACGTTCACAACGGTTATCTTACCCAAAATTGTTAAACATGGTACCAGTTGCTACTGGTGCGGATGTTAGTTCCATAGTTTCAGGATCAGAGGCATCGCCAGGAGGAATCATATTCTCAGCTCCCGCCTGTTTAGTAAAGAATTAGACAGGTATTAGAGGTGACATTGAGTTAAGTATTGTAGGCAATTGCACAGAGGCTCATTAGGAGGTTACACGAAAAGCGCAGCACTAATATGTGGACAGACAGACGATGTGAAGTGATGACATTGATGTATTCCATTGAATTACCCTAAACGTCTAACTGCTGATCCGGGAACACCATAAAAATCTTCATCTTGGAGTGCTGTTGTTATAAGGGGTTCATTTTCATCGAACGTTCTTCTCCGGTCCCCTCCGCCATGTCGTTGTCTATCGTTGGCCACCTCACAATCACGTTATTTAAACTTTTGATAGCACATAAACTATAGCAACTATAAACTATGCCCCAAACACCAAGGACTTGGGATAAACATGCTAATAACTGAAGGCAATAAGAATATCTGATGTGTTTCAATGAGCATGCGTAGTTGAAGAATAGATTAGTGCACACCCATCCATGAATTATAAAGTATACCTCTTCGAAGAAGATTTGAGTCTTTCGTAGAATATGTTTCAATTCAGTCAATTCAGAAAAGTTTTTACGCAGCGTCTCTTCATTACGATTAACTTCACGCACTTCGTTTTCCAGCTTTTCGAAAGTAGCCTTCAAATTGCAACTTCTTTAATCTCGATGAAGATGTACTAGTAAACCTCAAGGTCAATCATTTCGCGAGGCTGAGGTGCATCAAAGTTTTCTCCAGTGTCTAGCATTGGTATTTGATCCTTTTTGATCTCTCTCTCCAAATACCCTTCAAGCAATGATAAGTATATCTGGTTATACATGAATCACAAACTTAGTTTTCTTTCCATCTCATCGCAGCGTCTAACATCGCTCACAAATTTACGTTGGAAAGCGCTAGCCTCAGAGTTGAGCTTAAAAGGAAGATATGGAACAGTCAAACTGTTTCAACATACATCGCGAAATTGAACAAGACCCAGCTCCCCCAACTCAGCTACACATTGGTACGCTGCTTCCGACTGCAAGAAGAGTTGTGCTAAGCACATCTCCTCACTTCTATAGATGCCCGCTCGGGGCTCTTCCAGTTCTTGCATCTAAATATCCATTAGTTCAGAGAAATTATCAAAATGAACTATATGAAGAAGAAGTGAGAAAACCTATGTAATTTCAATAAGGAAAAATCTATAGAATAAGTGTCACAGGAGGAGCCAACAACGCATATATAGAAATTCGATAAAGGGCTGCGACCGCTCGCGGCGGCGTGCAATGCACCGCAATATATGACTAAAAGAAAATGAAACAAAAAAAAAATCGTTGAAATCCAATTCAATTGTTCTTCAGAATCAATGCAGCACACCAAAAACTTTATCTTATCATGAAATATGCTAACCGTGTCAAAATATAGTGATAACAGATTAGCCGATCGAATTAAAAATAGATTGTTTGTGTATGTTGTGAAGGAACTGTCGTGAAAGCTGTCGATGTGTGATCCGAATGGTTCAATTCATTCTGTTACGATCCTCAAAAAAACCATCCAGATTCGTGGCTAAACATTGCCTCCGGCAATGTCGATGTGTTATGTGTCACTACATACCCTCAGAGTGAACGAGAGGATTTTCGTTGCGAGACCCTCATTTGGCTAACAGCCAGGAACCCGCGCAGTAAAAAAATTTAAACCTCTTCAGTTTTTTTCTGATTGCTTCTCAAAACTAAAATGAAATTTGATTTTTGAAGAAGTTCTTAAAGCTTGAAAGGAAATTTTATCTAAAATTGTTCAGAATGCAGGCCCCCACGCCTGAGAGCCCGGCCTCTAAAAGAAAAACAAGGCCAGGGAGTTCCATTCCTCTGGTAAACTTTTGTGATCTCCCAATACTTTAATATTTCTATATCAGCTGAGAGATAAAGCTCCAACTACCCCATATAAACTCAGAGAGGGGTCCAAATTGCCTTCAAGGTATCGAGACGAAGAGCCATTACCAGTAATAAAACTCAGAAGTCCTAATAAAAAAAGTCCGCAGAAGTAATCATTGAACTATAGCTCCGAGAATTTACTAAATCGTTTTAGGATCTCAAATGTAGTAGCTCGCGCCTCACCGGCCAGAAGGGCACTTGGAAAGGTTGATGCTGTTCCGGTAAGTCTTACCGAACGAGACACAAAATTAGATATTTTAAGGGAAGCTCGAACAGTATCACTGCATCTGAACCTAGAAGTGAGTGAACAGCGGGATTCATTTCGATTTTCTTTCTCTTCCAGAGTTTCCATTTCCCTCTTCTTCAACTTATCGTGATCCAGCCTTCTTGAATCAGTCGGGATCTAATGTGAGTATATTCTACTCATTAGATTTTGAGTTCGGTTTATAGAATGAGATTGGTTCGACTTCAAACGAAGTTGATTCTTTTTCTAGTCCAGGCGGTCCAGACAAGCGTTTGAGTTTGAGGTTCGCGATCTGTTTAAATTTTTATAGAAGTATATTGCTTCAGCCGACCTGGCGCCGAAACCGATGTCGGTCGTATTGGTTTACTCAGACTGCAACACCTTCTTTCTTTATCGAAGGTTTGATATTTTGAGTGTTTTCATCCCTGTCCACGTCTACATTCAGGCTCGACGTTGGACAATCTGCGAATTTTTCTACTCCGCAGTAGACGAACAGTTATTCTTAGCGGATAATGAGTTTCAACAAGTCTTACAAGAATCTTTTCCAAATTTGAAAACTATGATGTTGAATAAGCAGCAATGGAGAACCATTCGACGATTGCTAGGTACACTCTTTCCGCGGATATATTCAGTCTAATGACGTCTCTCTTAGGTAAACCTAGGAGGTGCTCACCTCAGTTCTTCAATGAAGAACGAGCATCACTAGAATCCAAAAGAAGTAAAATTCGCTCAATCTATGAAGCCACATTTTTTTCGAATCCCAACGCGGATTATTCTGACTTGCCTCTAAAACTTCCACGTCCATTAGTTGTAGGAATGAGGGTATCGTTCATCATTTATCATTCGAAGATCTAAAATCAAATGTATAGGTTTATGCAAGGATACACTCACCTAAAGACGGCATTTATGGCGGAACTATAGATGCAGTTTTGAAAAATGGTTATCGTGTTATATTCGAGAAGGTATCAACCACCAAGTTGAACGTTTCTTATCCCATTGTAGGAGGATCTTATTCCCCCACTCGAAGTACCTGATAGTCAGGTTATGCTTGATGGAAGGCTAGAGCTTGTGCAATTGAACTACTTCATCGAGCAATGTACAGCAAAAATGTCGTTCTCTGCCGGAAGGCTATGTAAGGAACGTTTCATAGACAATCAGTTAATCTTGTTTCTAGCTTTCCCACCAATTTCCAATCCCGACAGGAGGCAGGATATTGTTGCACTAGCTCACAGTAAGATGCAAAGGAAACCCACACTCCCCGGTAGGAAATGACTACAAACTGCTTGTCAATTATTGTTTGCATTAGGAAGCGACAAAGTTGGGAACTTCCCTGTCAGGATGTTGGTGATCCTAGTGAAGTTGTCCAAATTGATCGAGCTGAAAAAGAAGTATATTAGGCAGTTGTGTGAATTGAATAATGAAGCCGAGAGAGCAAATCTCTTAACAGATGTGTATCATCCCACTTTTCAAGTATGCGCTTTTCGCTTCGTTAGCTTCTATATAAACTTATTCTAGGAAAAGTATGCTCAAGTTGTGATTGACTTAGAATCAATCAATAAACAAATAAGCATGTATCTTCAGGGTATTCAAGAGTATAACACCCAGCTTATCCCGCAATTGAGCGAAGTAGGTTCAAATGCTTAAATTATGAACTGATGAATTACGTTTGTAGGTGAATTTGGCTAATCGCCCAGATAGTCTAAGACGAATTACTACTACTCATGCTCAGCAAATAGTTAAACACTGTAATCAAGGCCTTAATGTTCAGAATGCGCGAGCTATCAGCCTCATAACTTCACTTACTTCGTTACTACTCCAAGTATGAGACTTATGCTCATCCTTTGAATTCAATCGTGTTTTACAGATTAGAACACTTGGACAACAAAAACTAACACCACTAGATATGCAGACATTGGCCGAATCAATCAAAGAAATACGTGGAATGGTTAGTTTCGTCCTTCTTGTTCTCCTGAATCACAATTCTTACAGGTATCTCCGAAAAATGCTGCTTGGTTTCAAGATCATGTTGAAGTCCACATGAAGCAAATTCATAACATGATGCTCCAATGTGGTGCACTTTCAAGCCGGTAATAAGAGGATTGTCATACGGAGGAAAGAAGTACACTAAGTACTGCTTTTTTTCGAGCTGTTTTATTATATATTGTAATGAATATAAATATGCCTTCTATTAGAGCCACCTTTCAATCTGCTATCGGTATTCATATATACATATCCATTTCTATTATTCTTGTGAAATCTAAACCAAGGTAGGGTTCGATCCGTGGCATGACAGATTTCTACAACTCTTCTATAAATGCCGAGCTGTCAGATGTTCTCAGAGAGGTGTGGATTAATGACGCCTCAGGCGAGAATGGGTTAGATCGTTACCTGAGTTCTGGATCAGATTTTTCTTCAGAAACTCCAGTTATAATCAAGCTGAAGGCGCCGACGAGAATGGGGAAATCATAGAGGCTCCCAATAACAGCTTAGTTTTAGAGTCAGGTGTGAAATCAACCGTGTTCTATTATTATAAAGCTGTTGTATAGATTTATTTTTCAATCCTCCTGATGAGGATGAGGTAACTATCAAGGAAGAAGAATGGATGTCTTTACGTCAAAAAGATAGCGGTATCAACGATACAGTGAATGAAATGGTTACAAACATAAAAAGAGGTACGCTGTTAGCATGATATCATATTGAAAGTCCCATTATTGTAGCTTGGGATCCAAGCCCACATGTCGGTAGAGAAGCAAAGATAGCTGCACCAACTACGCCAAGACAGTTTAATAATAATAATAGTAGATACAATAATGCGAATAATATGGAGTTAAGGCACCTCATCTCACATCTCGTAACAGGAAATTTGTAGGATGTGGTCGACGAATGAGAAGCCGCAAACGAATTTTTCTGCACCTATCCCAAATATGCAGCCAGAGTTTGGTTATCATAATCAACCTTATATTCCAAGAGAGGCTTATCACACTCAGCCAGTAGTACCACAAGCTTTCAATCCTGTGACTGTTAATCGGAATGTTCAACATCCCAATCAAATATCGATGAGTACTCATCACCAGACTCGTACAATTCAACCGAATGCTCATGTACAGCATCATTCTTCGCATCACTACCAGCCAGCACAGACACAACAATCTCATCACATTCTTCCGCATCATTCTAACAACTCTCGCTCGTTACCATCTTCAATATCATTATCTCCTGAACTGCAAGTGAATCAAGTTGAAACTAGAAATACGATGAGTTACGAACAGGCAGAACAGCGATTTGCACAGAACGTACAGAACGTACAAAACAGGTTAGCTGAGTTGTGCTTTGAATGGCTTATTCTTTTTTTCAGACCTTTGTACCCACAATCATATAACTCAACCTATTCTGTTCCTCACAATTTCTCTCTCAATACTGTGTCAACTACTTCTTCTCAAAACGTAGTCAATAGTAGTCATGCCGTTCTTAGCAGCAATAGCACACTATCTTTCTTCACTGCTCCGATGATGATGACCATGCCAGTTTTCGAAAAAGCAGTTGCGCCTTCTAATAACTTGAATAATAAAATTAATAATAATAATAGTTGCATTAATAGTAATGGAGGTTTTCAAATTTGTAGTTCTCGTACTGATGCTCTATTTCAGGGAGATCTTCTAATTTCATAAAGCCTAACTCAGAACGTGTGCAGCAAGTAGGGAGCCCCATAATACCCACTCCAGTAACATCCATACCAACACCTGTATCTTCATGCCCTAAGACATCTACAACCCAAGATTATTTTATTCCGTCTATGCGATTCAATAAGGATATCGGAAAGTCATTCAGATGTATGCCTTCTGAAGCAGTTATTTTTTAAAACCCCTTTTAAAGTAATGCACATGGAAACCTTATCTACTTCATCAAGATCCACTAGCACTTGCACCCTTAGCTCATCCAATAGTTAGCATGCACTAATAATTTCAAAACAACTTCCCCTTTTCAGAGAAAGAAGAAGAATCAAAAGGTTCTAAAGGTTCTATTAGTTTAGACAGAGGCACTTTGCTATTCAGAATGATTACTGATGAGAAGTAAGTAGTTCATTCGTATTCAAAAGATGATGAATGAAATTTAGTGAAGGAAATCGAGGCGGTCAGCCAGCTTCTCCAACGGTAAAAAAGAGCTTCTTTTCGCTTATACTTTTTTACAGCCAACCATTACCGACGCAATGGATAAGTGTAACAGAGGGCAATCGGAAAAAAAGTAAGTTAGATTAACAAACGGAAATATCTTTTGGCATTCAGTAAGGAGTGCTCGAACAGATCTAGGTTATTATCCACCTTCTTCTCTGGTAATGGCACCCACAGAGTTTTTAGCAGTTCGTTAGAGTGTACTTCACCGACATGTGTGAGCGCCCGAATCAGAAATCAGAAAAGGGTGTTGAAGAATAGGGAAACTCAAACAGTTTGCCGTTTTTTCCGTTCCTCTCCATCAATAGTATTCAGATGAGTCATGTGCAGAGAAACAATGATTCTTTGTGCTTTCCGGATATGGGTGATTGGCCTTCTAATGGGGGATCCTTGAAAGTTGTTCGTCGAAGGAAACATTTTCGCAAACATAAAGTCCTTTTTAGCATAGACCTCATCTGTGTGACCAATCCCGTATCATAATTTGCAGGGTTTTGGCTTACAACAGAGAAATGGCGAAAAGGTATGTGCTAAGACAGTATGTATCACAAATCAATGTTAAGGCTAGGACCAAACAGTGGGAATACACCGTTCGCTCAACCTGATGTGCTTACTGCTGCTATGACTGGGTTCAAGGTTCCTCTCTCTTTCAAAACGGTTAATAACAAACTTTAAGCCGAATGTAGTGCGTCAGTGCGAAGACAAGAAGTTAGAACTTCTGAAATGCACAGACAAAGGGCCTTTTACGACACTGGTAAGGAATTCAGGATTGAATGGAAGATGGCTTGCTTTAAGGCAACTCAGAGAATCAGAGAAGAGGCAAGGGAGCGTTTGGCAGTAGTTTTCGCTACAAGCGATGATGAAGAGCCTACCCAGCGCATCCCCCAAGCGAAAAAGTAAGTTGGTCATACCTCTTTGATGCTATCCAATTGTGGTTAGGTTAGCTCGTCTCTCAAAGCAGATAGCTGAAAAAAAGAAATCTTGAATGCATTTATGTTTGTCAAACCTCAAACTTTATCTTTTGCTGATCTCAGAGAGCGTGAGAGAGAGACGAGTCGAATGCGACCGCTTTGCTCGTCTCGTTAAGCGAAAATAGGTTTTAGGAGCCACGTACACGTATATTCAAATTTCGAACTTTGCACGGGAGCGTCCCCTATGTTTCGTATATGCTTATCACACATGATTCAAAATCTTGGGCTAGACTAGAATTCACACGGTTTTTCAGTTTCGATCGAAATGAAAACATACGGCGTTCAGAAAGAGTTCATAAGCAAACCAATCGTTTCCCATTTGAAAATTGTTAGGAGTTTTTCAAGTTTTATTCGCAAATGTTTTGCAATGTTGCAGATCAAGCTGGGTTCGATGATTTTGAAGAGGGAAGATTCAAAAATGTTGTGAAGCGAGAGTATCGTAAGCGTCTATCCGTCGAATTAACGTAAGTAGGAGAAGGAATGCAATGCGAGCTTTTTTCGTTTAGCGACGAGTTATATCACGATGATTACATTGTGGAAAAGTGTTTGGAAGATATTATATGTAAACTCTGTGATCAAGAAGTTTTAAGTGAAACAGACAGGTGCGACAATGCCAATCTAACTGAAGAAATTCATTTTTCAGTTCTGGTCAAGAGCAAAGCTCCGAAAGTTTAATAAAAAAAAGAAAAGTTGGGAGACCTCCGAAAAAGATGATCTACGTTTGATATAGCCAGCAGTTGTTTTGATTACCGTTTTCTCTCATATCACCATTTTAGTCACTTTTTACTTTCTATGTGTACATTCCTATATACTTTTCTGATTTTTATCTTTGGGTATGGTTGATCTCACATGGTCCTTTTCTATTCAAATTTTATACTGTTATAGTTCGTATATGTTCACTTCTTTTACCAAGGTTCATGCTGAATCCTCAAAGCATTGTTCGTTTCTTTTTTTAACGTTTTACTCATACCTTGTTCATTTTGTTTTTATTAAACTTCGTTGCGATGTTTGTCCTACTCTCCCTCGAGGTTTCTATCTTCCTGATACTCTCTTCTACACCCTTTCGTTGCATTTGATTCTTCATCCCTTATTCTCAGATTGGATCCTCCAGAAAGCAATGGCTAAGCATCTGAGTTTGAACACACTGAAATCCTACTCGTCATTACGATCTTTTCACACATCATTAACTGTGCGGCAGAAGCCTGTGTTCTCAGAAGGTTTCTCTATCTCATTCGTAAATGGAAATCATCTTTTGTTGTTTTCAAGATGATCAGTTACCAAAATGGAAACCTGGTTTGACTCCAGATGCTGCCGAAGCAGTCCTGAAAATCCAGTATCTTGTTTGACTCATTCATACGTTTTCCTTTGCCCATTTAGTCAGCGTTTTCCGAGAGATTTGAAATCGCTACCTCGAGATGAGCAGCCTTTCGCTATCATCGATAAGAACTTTGTCGGGAAAGTTATAAGTGCTGTGAGTTCTGAGCTGCTTACCAAGATATGAGTTGACGTTCAGACGGAAATGTGCCCTGAAAGAGGATTTGGATATAACATAAATCTTGGCTTAATGGTTCTTCGTGTAAAGTATCGTCATCTTCAAGCCGTTGGTCACTATTTTGCATTTAAAGAGACAGGGATTTTCAATGTATTGGATAACCAGCCAGGATATTTGAAAGCCTTCGAGCTTGTCGCACAAAACGCTTACAAGGTATGTCTCTGCTCATGGAATTCACTTCAAACGAGTTTTTAGGATAACCTAAATGACCTGGTTGATCGAGAAGTATGTTTCCAATTCACAGTTGACCGTTTCGCTGCTGCAGCTCCTCATATGTCACCCAGGTAACAATTTCTTCTAGTTCGTATGATAACTGTTAACTCAGACACCGAGAGTTACTGAATCTAACGGAGGAAGACGTGTACACTATAGCCCCAGGAGCTTTTGGTTTTTCAAATTCATTTTGGTATTGAAGTAGTTAAGTTGATTGATTGCAGGTCCCTATCATATGATCAGACCAAAGCTGTTCAACAAGATACCTTACTTAACGAAGTCGATCATGGTATGTGCTTTCTACAAGAAGCAGTTGTTGTTCGATGCTGTGAGTTCACTATGAGCCAACAAAAAACGATTTTCTATTGAAGGTGCGGGACTTGCCCTTGCTTTCTTCAAGAAGTGAATCCGACCATATTCCAATGCCTGAAGGTTACGGTTATAGTTGTCCACGCTTCATTCTAGGGTATTTAACATTCGGAAACAAATGTTTGGCTGCTAAAGAGCTAGACTCAGAAGTCAAGTTGTTAGATTTTCAATTCGTAGTGATGTAAGCAGGTGTTTCCATGAACTTCCACATATTTATTTTAGATTTCAAATGAACTTTTTTATGAAAAAAGTAAATATATTATTGCAAGTTTGTTATGAAGACCAAAGAGAAAATGACCAAGAGAATGTCCAAGTTATAGAAAGAGAAGAAACTATGCTGCTGAGCAGCTATCAGAGTAAAGAATTTCGAATCACTAGTGGCTAGTTTGAGAGCATACGCCAATGGCCAGAACGGTTTCTCTGTTGGTTTGTCAGTCAGCATTGAAGACAGCTTTATAGCGTTCTCCGAGTATCTAAGAAGAATGTCATGTTACTGTCATAGGTTCATAAACGATACTTCGGATCTTCCAGCACTGTGCTGATTGCTCCGTATACGTTTTCAGGAGTCAAATTCAGTTTGTCCAATGTTTGAGCGATACCAAACCTAGTTGCACGCATTGCATTTATTTTTTGATCAGCGAACAACGGCATCAGGACTGCTGGAATACCGGCCTTAACAATAGCTTTAAACCTTATACTTCAACAGAACATACTTGAGCTGTTTCCAAGAGAGAGTTGTAGCCACCATGAGCTATCAAAAGCTTCATCCTTGGGTCTCTCATGATATCCTTTTGGGGCAACCATTTGATCAGATGGACATTGGTCAAATGCTCTGCTTCTTTCACAGATTTCTCCATTCTCCATAGAATTGTATAATCAGGAAGTTTGGAGAAAGCTCCGACAAAGGAGTCCTGAAATGTCTGCTACTTCAAACAAGGATCAGTGTAACTTACAATCATCTGCTGAGGCATGTTCGTGGTATTGGAGACTGTGCCCAAAGAGAACACTATAAGTCCTTTACTTGGTTTTTTGCTCCATATGTTTTCAATCTCATCTCCCAAGTCTCCTTTTTTAGATTTTGAAACTGCAAATGGGTAACCCATCATCAAGAAATATAGAAAAACCTTTGTTAAGTCCAAGCTCGCCCGAGAACGAAATATGGAGCGGCAAAGGTCTTGGGAAATCTAACATTCGTTCTCCATTGATTAGAAGAGCTGACACGTTCTGTGACAGTTCCCACAAATCTGGTTGATCAGGTGCGATCAGTTCTAAGCATTACCAAAGGTTAGATAGAGCGGATGATATTCTTACTTCTATAGAATTCGTTTTCATCGTGCAATAGGTTTTGAGGAAGATTGACAAAGTCTAAGAGCGACCAATGCCAAAGTAAGTTGTACAGCCTATCCGAGAAGTCGAGAGAAAAGCCGCCTGTTAAAACCTTATGAAACTTTCTTGAGTCAGATTCAACCTGATGAAAGTGGATGAGGAACAGTAGCAGGTAGAGTACGAAGCCCCAAAGTAACGGCAGCGAAATCGTAGATTGATGTACCATGAGTTATCCAGATAACCTTAAAGATGAATCTTACAATCTCTTCATGCCTGGTGATTGTATACTTTGTTGACTCCAAGTTTCTTAGCTATAGCCAATGGACATAAGTCATGGAAATGAGCAATGGCAACATCGAATTTACGTTGTCGGAGTTTCTCGTAGACCTGGAGCACTGAAGTTGCTTATGCTTTCTCGTTGTTAAACCTTTTCGTCGTGGCTTAGCATTTGCTCACAAGCTTCAACACGCATGTCTTTGAACTCCTGCCCAGTCCACCACAAGTCATAAGCGTCTCCGGCCGAGAACATCATGGATTGGAAAACCTAAACTCTTTTAAATGCGGATACTGTCTTTATCAAAATACTTTCAATCCTTCTGTTTTCAAGCTATCAGTGAAATGAATTGGAATTCTATATTCGGAAACCCCTTCAGGTAGTTTGTTATTACCAGTATCCAGCATAGCCATTTCCATTTGTGTCCACATTTGGACGTCATGGCCAAGAGCCCTGTAGGGAACGATAAGTAAGTTCAACGAAACCAAGCGCTACAGAAGTGTCTATTTTTAGAAACTTGATATTGCGGAAGATGATGATATCAAGTTCAGCGAACAATCAAATGCAACTAACTTCAGTGAACTGGCTAAACGATAATTGAAGAGAACATGACTGTTTGTGAATCCTGGCACGATTTGAAGAACTTGCAATGTTGAAAAACAAGGTAGGAAGAAGAGAAGACTCCATAGGAGGAAGTTGTGGGCTATCATTCTTCCTATATGACAGCCTGGAAATGGAAAGGAATAGGCTCGAGCATAAGATGAAAATTAGAAAATGCAACAGATTATTCAAGAAAGTAACAGTTAGTTCTATATTTCTAAGGAACAAAGAGAATGTCGAGCAAATTGTTCGATACAAAACGAGAATAGCCGCCAAAAGGTCAACTTTCATAAAATTGATCGCTTTCGATATTGTTCCAATCTGTAGTCGTTGGTTGATTATCAAGGGAGAGAGAAAGAGACATTAAATACATTTTATTTTAAAGAAGAAAAAACAACAACGAAAACTTTCAATGTGAAAAGATGTGTTAAGTCTTCTGTCGTTTCCTGGCAAGCTCATTTTCCTGAAACTCATCAATAGCTTTAGAAATAGGTGATCGCTTACCGATCCGAACTCATAGTAATGGGGCGCTAGCTCGTAAAGCCATTCTGGCTGGATAACTGTAAGGTCTCGTATGGAATCTTGCATAACTTCCGAGAAAATAACCCTGCAGATTGAAGATGTAGAAAGCAAAGCAGTGACCTTCACTTACCATTTAGGATAATCTTTTTTGTACATTACTACAGAGCCTTTGTATACTATGAATGGGAATCTTTCTTTAACAGTCATATACTTTCCAGTGTGATCGTATTGAGCAGCTTGTGAGAAGAACCCGTGAACAAGACAACGAATGATAATGTTTGTCGCGTCTGAAATACGATTCGTTCAAATATTTTCTTTAAAAAGCTCCTCAACCGTCTTCGTCCCGAACAGAGCGGATCGGGATTTGGAATCGTTTCATAAGTCTTGACAGCTGAGTCCTGATGTTGTCAGCTCTCATAAGTCCTCTGAAGTTCAAGTAATGGTCACTACACCATTTCTTACTTTTATTATTCTGAAAGTAGAAAAGGATATATGTGTATAGAGATGTAACCAAACTCTAATGAATAAAGTGAATATATTTAAATAAGTTAAATGGTCTCCTTCTTCGACCGCAAATCTGCGCTTTATGCTCTCCTGAAATTAGCATATGATTTTGATGTTTTCCCGTGAGTTCACGTAACCCAAAACTCGAAATTTAGTTTTCATTTTCAAAGTTTCACTTTTCTAATTCGGTTGTGTCAGCTGCACAAGAGGTCAAAATCGGAATACTAATTTTTTTGTTTCCAGACAAACATTTTTCGGCTGATTTGAAATTCAGAAGAACTTACAGCATGATGCCGATTTCGCGGTACAATGAATAAATCCTGGATTTGGAGCATGGCTATGATTGTAAGCATTTCTTCACTACATCCCATATGTCCTGTTAACATTTTCTTTAACGAGATTATTATAGAGGAAAACTACCTGACATTAGCAAACACTTTGCGTGCATTGGAGGAAGTGGAAATTCTGCCATGTGTAGACCAGTAGGATTCGTCAAGAGAGAACTTTAAATCGAGCGAGTCGTTACATATCATTCGTAGTTGACTTACTTCTTGTCTAGTGCACCCAGAGCATATAGAAGTTCTAACCCGCTCACAACAGACCATGAAGGAGGACGCTGAACACAAATGATACATCTACAGGCAATGAACTCACAGAGAGATAGTAGAACTTATGGATATTCTGAATACCCAAAACCTTGAGTTGGAGAACGACGGGAGCCAATTGGCAGCGTTGAATTTCAGGAACTGTCCCCTCAGGCATTTTGTCATGCTCCGACACTTCAATCAACAGTAACAACTAAGGTGAAAACTATCTTACGTGGATATAACCGATAAGCTTTTCCAGGTCTGATACGACCTGCTCTTCCAGCTCTTTGTTCAGCGGAAGCCTTGGATATGGGAACTCTCATTAAGCATTCGATCCCGTTCTTTTCATTAACAGCTCTTATCTTCACAAAACCAGTGTCAATCACTGAAATTTCCTGGATGATTTTAAAAATAACCAATCCAAGTACCATAAGCGATTCCGGGTATGGTAACAGAAGCTTCTGCAATGTTTGTGGCTACCACTACCTTTCTAGTTCCATGGGCTGTCGAGTCAAATGCTTTCATCTAAAAAGAGCGGTTTTCGAGTTTTTTTTTCGAGTACTATACCTGTTCTCGCCCAGGTAAAGCTCCATAGCAAGGTACTATCCATAGCTTATCATAGTTTTTCAACCTTGGGACGTGCTCTCTCAACTTCGAACATACCTGGAAGAATAGACATTTTGAAGAAACGCATACTATTTGCATACCTCTTCAACTTCATCTTGACCAGATAAGAACACTAGGATATCTCCTGGTAAATCTTTCTTATGAATGTTTATTACTGCATCAGCACTAGCTTGTAGATAGTTAGGAACAGATCTAAAGAGATTCATGAACAGTCACGTAAAACTTTAGACATACGTTCTTGTGTGAAATATGGTCACAGGATGAGTACGTCCTTCTACTGATATCACACTTGCTGTGTCTTTACTGGAATCATCCGTATCATTCATTTCGAAAAAATCTCGGAAAAGCTGAAAGAGCGATATACTAGAAGTTCGTGAGAAACTTGATTTACTTCAGCATCTAAAGTAGCAGAGGAAACTATAATTCTGAGATCAGAGCGTATCTGCATGACTTTTCTCAAAAGCCCAATCAGTATATCAGTGTTACAAGACCTTTCGTGAGCTTCATCAACCATGATGATACTAAATGTTTGCTCTAACTACTAAGCCCATATATAGGAACGAAAATACCTGTACTTCGACAGCAATGGATCTGCCATGAACTCTCTGAGAAGAATACCATCCGTCATGAACTGGAATACTTCAAAGTATAAGAGAGGCTGCTCCCAAAGCTACTTTTATTTTGGTTTCGTTATCAGATAGATCGTCGAATCTGACAGTATATCCCACATCCTGACCAAGGATCACATCCTTTTCTTCGGCAACACGTGAGGCTAACTTGAATGGATGTTATAACTATTAGAAATAGACTATAAGAACTCACAGTTACAGCTGCTACTCGACGAGGCTCAGTTACCGCAATCATTCTACCATCACTGCACCAACCCGCCTCGAGAAGAAATTGAGGTACCTGATATGAATTGATACATAAGAAGCAGTCTTGATTGTTTTACCTGAGTACTTTTACCACAACCAGTCTCTCCTACTACAATAACTGTTCGGTATCTTTCACACATATATATAATATGATTTCTATTCTAAACTTGTCACTTGGTGAAGATACGTTTGTTATAGCTACCTTGAATATAGGAAGCCGAGCTCTCTGTGATTGTATATTGAGTGAGCCATACGGATTGTTAAAAACAGTTAAGGGATCTCCACTTGATGTGCTTGGCTGTTCTGATGGTCTTTCCTCAAAAACGAGAGGTCCTGTTCTTGGTTTATCGGCAGAGTCGTCTGAAAGACATTGATTGCTTGATAACTTTCGAAAAGGGAACTTACCAGGTCTGGCAAATCGAAACTGTTTTCGATTGTTTCCACCACTCTCGCCATGTCCATGTCCAGGATGATACCTTGTCATAACTATTGTTCAGCTTTTCGTTTGATCAAGGAGTTTCTTCGCATACGAATTTTGAATTTCGAATAAACGGTTACGGTAGTTGGAATAGTCGCAATGTGGCGTTGCGTATTCATAGTCTTACTCACTAATCTGAAGATGAAGGCTTGCCTTAAGAATATAATTGTTGTTTTTCTTATTCTACCTTGAAATTCGACTTGGTTTCTTATAATACTGAACCTTCTCTATTCCATACATACATATATTGCAGATAGATCGAAGTATTCGATAATGATTATCCTTGAGCAACAGAATCGCATCATCACAGAGCTGTTAGAACTCAAGTTCAACAATGCTATAGAAGGGTAAGTTCTTATTCAAATTTTGTTTTTTATAATTTATCTTATGTGTATAGAGGTAAGCCAGATGTAGTTGATACTCGTTTTGCTGATTTTGATGGTGTTTTGTACCATTTGTCCAACCCTGGAAATGATAAAACTAAGATTATGGTTTGAACATCTTTGAGCTCTTGTATCGCATATTCTCCTTTACAGCTCAGCATTTCTCTTAAGTTCTTCCAAGAGTTACAGCAACACAATGCTGATGATGTAAGTTTCAATATTCATTCTTTTTTCAATCGTTCTATTTAAAGCTAATCAAACGTGAGTATGGTGACCGTCTAGTCTCCCCTGAACCAGGGTTCAATGTGTCCGTTGTATATGATTTAACAACACTTCCATCTGATCCAGCTGCACTATCAGCTCTCAGTTAGTTTCAATTTTTTTTTGTTGAAATTGAGCTTTTCTTAGTTTCCAAGGCTTCTGCTCTGAAACGTAATTGCTTCGCATCCGTTTTTGAAAAGTATTTTGAATTCCAAAAAGCTGGGCTAGAAGGACAGAAACGGGCCGTCATCAACTATCGTGATGACGAAACTATGTGAGTTTTGTTTGTTTATCTCTGACCCATGTTATTATCCAAACAATCAATACATGGAAGTTTAGGTATATTGAAGCTAAGAGTGACCGTGTAACAGTCATCTTCAGTACTACTTTCAAAGAGAAAGATGATATCATCATTGGCAAAGTTTTCTTACAAGTAATTCAGTGGTTTGATGAGAGATTCGTATTTGTTTTCTTTCAGGAATTCTGTGAAGGTCGTAAAGCTAGTCAGACAGCCCCTGCTGTCTTGTATACTATCGGAGAACCACCTTTAGAACTTCGTGATCAACCAGGTGCCAATGTTGGAAAGAATGTTGGATACATCACATTTGGTACGTAGACGTATTTGTCCAAATGTACAACTTGATTGCTTACAGTGCTCTTCCCTCGACACACGAATGATAGAGCGAAAGACAACACCATTGACCTGATACATACATTCAGGGATTACTTACATTATCACATAAAATGCTCAAAGGTAAGTACATAGTTCAAATCAATTCTCAAATATCCGATAACAGGTGTACATGCACTCAAGAATGAGAAAGAAGACTAGCGACTTTTTGAAAGTTTTGAATCGTGCCAAACCCGAAGTCAAAACCGAGAGGAAGACTTTCAGGTATGGTTGAGCACTACGAACAGTCGTATCATGTTCTCGTTTCAGCGGTCGTACATTCCAAACGAACTGAAGGGCAATCCCTTCAATCTGAGACTTCACTTACCCACCAGCACGTATTTAACGCTTTAAATATTGTCACTGTTTTAATATAAATTATCTGTAAAAACTATAATATTCTCTTCTTGTCTGGTTAGGATAGAGGTAGACTGATCACTGAGCAGGATGCACGTGGTCCTCAAAGAGAAAACAATGTTTGCAACTGCCACATGTTCATCACTCTTCTGCCGGTGAATAGAAAAGTTTTGTTATCACGATAAGTTTATTGAGAATGAAACATTCGATTATATACGATAGGAGAGTTACTTCAGCCAACTAAGTTCAACTTACAGCACTTAAAGATTGATGTCGAACGATCTTTCAAAATGAGTTGACATATTTGAAATTAGTTACCTGATCAAGTACGCTGTGAGAAACCAACATTCACATACTGTGTCCTGGTTCCTTTCACAGATCAGCTTTTCGTAGCCCCGGGTTGAGCAGGTTGCTTTTTTTTCAGAAATTTCTGTGAAATTATTATTCCATGGTGTGCTAGCGGTCCAGCTTGTATGTTGCGAACTGTTCTCGAATGCTCTTGGTAGAAACAGATGTCGGATGTAGAAGACTGTTAGTTGATGTGGAAGTTCAGTAGCAGTCCAATCTGACCGACTCTCAGTTGAACATGGCTATCCATAATCCGTTTGCGACTTTGCAGTCACGCTCATCCAATGGCAAGCAACCTGAGATGAACTTTCAAATTTATTTATTCTGTAATCAATCTTACAGTTGAGTGAGTTAACTATTACCTATATTTTATTAAAAAATAGTATTTTACATGATTGCAAGAAGTGAAAGTATATTACACAAACCATTAGATATGTTGAGATACTTGAGAGGAGACACGTATTACGATACAAGTAGCAGTAGGGTTCTCTCCTATTTCGACATGAGTGTTTTCGTTCCGATTATAGCTCCGATTCCAACTAACGCCGCTCCTATGACAATGCTCCAGCGTCGCCGTGAGAAGTTGCTCTCTTCCATCAGGGATTTATCATCGCGTTGAATTATATCTGCAGCGACAGTCATGAATAGCTTCTGAAAACATAAAGAGATATTTCAGAAAACTATGTAAACACTTACCCAGCTCTTTCTCTCAGTGGGCCAAGTCAGGCGGATTCTGGCATCCACGAAACGGGAAGTGTATAGGAAAATTTGTTGAACTTCTTTGCGTAAGTTATGCTGCATCATACGAGCAGCAACCACTCCTCCGAAAGCTATGATACCGACAAGACGTCCATATGACATGCCTCGAGCTTCTTCATTCTCTACTCTGCCAAACTCCTCCAGAATCTAGGACAAAAGTTTAAAAACATAGATTGAACAATCTCCTTACATCGCAATAACGGGCAAAAGAGAGATGCTCATCTTCGAGAAGCTCATTAGCAAATCCATCAAGTTCAACTGTGTGTCTTCTTTCGAAAATGGAAGCAAGTCGTCTGAAAAGAGCCGATGACTCTAGAAGCAATCAACGTTAGACTCACCTCATAACTTTGTGTTCGGGTTGTACACCGTAAGGCAATTCAGGACGCTCATGCCATTCTAATCTATCTTTTTCAATTCTGAAACTGAAGTAATCGACCTGAAATGAGAAGAAAACTAAAACACTTAGGATGCTATCTATGATACCACAAATCCTTTAATGTCCAAGTGCGGCAGCTGGAAATCGTAATCGCACATACTCGCCGGATTGGTCATTGCTCCGTTGAAGACGAGGAGCCTAAAATTTTATTTTCAGTCTTCATCTTCTAAAACCTATCACAATAACGAGAAGAAGTCAAGAATAAGTATAAGAGGGTACAATGAACCGGACAAAATTAAGAAAAAAAAAGCGAGAAAAATCGAAAGTGTTTATAAGATTGCGATCTATAGCTTTTCTATTTATTATATATTTATTCTTTCTTGTTAGAGCAAGCGTTGGCAACGACAAGAAGAGTAAGAAGAGTCGAGAGTCCCAAAACAAGATATCCGCTCTTGTAAACCTTCAAACACATCAATAGAACCAAGCAAAATAGAAACTTGTTGTACCTGACCGATGTTATCAACTCCCTTTGCCAAGTCAAATCCGAGGAATCTGATACCGTTCAAAGTATGGAAAATGATGGGGAAAGCGATGATGAACTGTAACAAACAAAGTATATTATAAAAAACATCGGTAAACCACCTTGAAGACGGCAGTAACAGCACAGGGAAGTCCAAGTCCACGAACGAACTCAACGAAGGTAGTGAAGTCAATTGGGAGTACAGCGAAGCCAACACCTCCAACAATGAGGGTACCAGCCATAATACATCCACTGATACGGTGAGCTCCGGAGACCTAACACGGAAATGAAAATTGGTAAATTAAACCAAGATGTTTACCATCCAAGTAAGTTGTGGTTTGTAGACAGTAAGATGAGGAGAGATTGGACGTCCCAACGACTTTTGTCGTTGTAAATATTCCCATCCCAACTGCTGTACAGGCGTCTTGATCTATAACACGATGGTTTATAGAGCATGTAACATATATATGCAAATGTCAAACCTCTTCACATCTTGTAACGCTGGTGGATAAGTATCGAGCAAGAACGGAGCTGTTGCAGGCTCTCAATGCGACAGTAGCAGGTACAAGCATTTCCTTTAATATTACGACTTACAGTTCATTTCATACAATTTAATTTTCGGTAAAGATGAAAACGAGAAAAATAAACAACATCAGTTGTGCTTCCGATAGTTAGGCGTACAACGTAAAAGCGGTTGCGCGTGTTGTGTGTGCACCAGAAAGACGTCAGCATTAATTTAACAGAAATCCATTCATACTCAACATGTGGCACACATGAGGCTATATCGCTCTATGAATATGATTGAAACACAGAAGCTGGAGGAGTTATGCACAGTGTATTCACTGTGAGAACTCAATTCTGTTGTTTGAAGAGCTTTGAGTGCGAGAATGGCCTGAACGCAGGGAAAATGAGTGTCCAACTCTCATAGTCCACTGGAAGCCAACTTGTTAGATAACGTTCAGCCGATGATCTTTGCCGATTCTTACAAATCTTCAGAATAAAGCAAAATCACAGAAATGATGATGTTGAAAGATGACTTCTTCTAACTTCTTCTTCGTTTCCATGAATGTTGCTCCTGACCTCCCATCGCAACGCATATGAGGAGCAGATGAGAGAGAAGGTACAGGAGATGGATGGAAGCGGGTCAAGATCTCAGACGTTTAATTAAAAGTTTATTAGTTAAAAATTATATTAAAATGTAAAAATGTATATAAGTTATCTAACACGTGAATCATCATTGAGTTTCCCGTAAGTGACTTCCTGAGGCAAAATATAAAACAAATTTGTACAAGAGGCTAACAATAGTCATTAAAGTTGTTTAGTTTTCTCATGGAATGTTAAACTGTCAACTGGCAATTGATTGTCATTACTGTTTATGATATAGAGATTCGTGTCATAATCATCGCGTCGCATATGTTGGCACAAAGCTGAAACTCTTCTTCTATCGAATAGAAACTGATCAGGGGAAATACCGTAAAAGTCGAAGATCTTCATGTAGATCCAGTATGAGAGTCCGGCAGAGACTGAACAGCAGATCATGCAGGGTACTAGCCAGGATAAACAGATGATCATGGCAGCCACTAAGCTCATAGATATAGCCATGCAGGAGTTACTTTGGTTTCTTACTTTCTATGAGCAGAGCTGTTCCGAAGTTCAGTATGGTACAGAACAGTATTATGATCATGAAAATGGTGACAGGGATGACATTGAAAGCAAATACCCAAGAGAGTAGCAAAGGATGTCGTCTGGTCAAATCATAAACTGTTTCTCTCAGTTTCATCTCGAATCCTGAAAACACAAAGTTCAATTTATCAACAAAGCTCTAAGCTTTCACAAAAGTTAAATGTCAATTGTACAAATAAACTTCTTGTTGACATGGTTTTCTTCGACTCAAAAACAACTGATAAGATGCTCCATTTACAACTAGGGATCAGTCCTTTAATTCAGTTTGATTGACACAATACCAGAACTATTGCCTCATAAGTAACTTCGATACGTTCTTTCTATCATTTTCATAGATTTGTAAGCTGTTTCATAAGTAGAATACTGTTTCAGTAGTTATGGCTAACGCTGTCAAAGAGAGAAAGAAGGTAGCTCAGCTCCTTGAGAGTGAGGAAGAGGTAAGAAAACTTTGGGATGAAGCCAAGGTGTTCGAAGAGGATGCCGACGACAGGTTCGATTTTTTCCGTTTTTTTTCATTTTTTTTGTGTTCTTTAGTAACAAAGAAAAGTACTTTGTAACATTCCCTTTCCCATATATGAATGGAAGACTTCATTTGGGACACACTTTCACTCTTTCCAAATGCGAAGTAAGTACATTCTCATTTTCTGTCTGTCATGCTGTACAATTTAGTTTGCTGTTGGTTATCATCGTTTAAAAGGAGAAAAATGTTTGTTCCCCTTCGGTTTCCATTGTACCGGAATGCCTATCAAGGCTTGTGCTGACAAGCTCAAGAGAGAAATGGAAGATTTCGGATATCCTCCAAAGTGAGCTTGTCCGTGGTAGCTCCTACTAAGTCGTTCTTGTTTCAGTTTCGATCGACAAGAAGAAGTAGTTGTTGTTGAGGATGAGGTTTCTGAGTTAGAAGCTCTCATGAAAGACAAGAGTAAGGGAAAGAAGGTAAGCAAGATAGATTGAAGAGAATCAGATCCCTCATTACTTACAGAGTAAAGCTGTTGCCAAAACTGGTAGTGGCAAATACCAATGGCAGATCATGCAATCATTGGGAATGACTGATGAAGAAATTGCCAAATTCGCTGATCCACTCTATTGGCTAGAATACTTCCCTCCTCATTGCATCGCTGACATGAAGAGAATGGGAAGCAAAGTCGATTGGAGAAGATCCTTCCTTACCACCGATGTTAATCCCTACTTCGATTCTTTCGTAAGATGGCAATTCGGAAAACTCCGCGCCGCCAAGAAGATCGATTTCGGAAAGAGGTAAAGAATTCAAGCAAAACTTTGACTCCTTCCTTTTTTGCAGATACACTATCTATTCTCCTAAGGATGGACAGCCATGTATGGACCACGATCGTGCTTCTGGTGAAGGTGTGGGACCACAAGAATACACACTCGTTAAGCTGAGGGTCTGTTGGTTGAGATAGTTATTGTGATTCATTTGTGCCTTCAGGTTATTGAACCAAGACCAGTAATTTTCCGTCATATAAAAGAAGAAATATTCCTTGTAGCCGCAACTCTCCGGCCGGAAACTATGTAAGTGAAATCTATTTTCCTTCTTATTATGCTTTGGTTACAGGTATGGACAAACCAATTGCTACCTTCATCCTGATATTGAGTATGTTGCTTTCTATGCTGGAGAGGGAGAGAATGAGGTCTTCGTCGCTACACCTCAAGCTGCTCGTAACATGAGTTACCAAGGCTTGACTGCTGAGAATGGAGTTGTGAACTATGTCGATGGATTGGACAGCGTATGTGAATGACCTTTTTTTGATTCTACATTCTTCTTTAGTTCGCAGGTGCTCTGATTCTTGGTTGCCCACTTAGAGCTCCACTTTCTGCTTATGATATCATATATGCACTTCCTATGCTCACCATCAAAGAAGACAAAGGTTCGTGCTGCTAACTTTCATTGTTCATATTTGCGTTTGAGGAACTGGAGTTGTTACCTCAGTACCTTCTGACTCTCCTGATGATTATGCTGCTCTCAATGATCTGAAGAAGAAGAAACCTCTTCGTGAGAAATACTGCATCGATGATGAAATGGTTCTTCCTTTCGACCCCGTAAGTGAGCCAAAGCATGATTCTAGCTGAAGCACGTTTTTCAGATCGCAATTATCGAAATTGAGGGACTCGGTGATATGGCCGCCATTGAAATGTGCAAGAGATTGAAAATTGAATCTCAGAACGACAAAATCAAGTTGGAGCAAGCCAAGAAAGAAGTTTATCTCAAAGGATTCTATGACGGTGTAATGAAAGTCGGAAAATACGCTGGACAGAAAACCGCTGATGTGAAGAAGCTCATCCAGGTTTAGAAGTTTGAAGAATGCATATCATGATTGTGTTTAGAATGATCTTTTCAATGAGGCTTTGGCAGTCAAGTATGTCGAACCTGAAAAAAAAATTATCAGCAGATCTGGAGACGAATGCGTTGTTGCCTTGTGTGATCAATGGTGAGCGCTTTTTTTTTCAGCTCACGTCTAAGGTTTAAGGTACTTGAACTATGGAGAACCAGGATGGAAGGCTAAGGCTAAGGAAGCTCTTGCCAAGTTGAACACCTACACCGATGAAGTACATTTTCCTTTTATTTTTATGCTAGTGTGATGTTTTAGACTCGCAGAAACTTCGAGTATACCATTGATTGGCTTCATGAGTATGCTTGCTCTCGTAGTTATGGATTGGGTAAGTGGAAATGTCCCTATCAGACTTATTGATGTGTTCAAGGTACTAAGCTTCCATGGGATCCTCAATATCTTATCGAATCTCTCTCTGATTCCACCATTTACAACTGTTATTATACCATCGCTCATCTTCTTCAAGAAGGATCTTTGGTTGGATCAGTTGTTGGCCCAGCTGGAATCAAAGCTGAACAATTGACTGAAGCTGTTTGGGATTATATCTTTACCGGTGCTGCTTACGATGCTAAGACCATGCCAGTTGCTCAAGAGTCTCTGGACAAATTGAGAAAGGAATTCCTTTACTGGTATTAATTTCCTCTTTGACCCATTACACTGAATTTCTGTCCAGGTACCCAATTGATATGAGAGTTTCCGGAAAAGATCTCATTCAAAACCATTTGACTTATCTTCTTTTCAACCACGTCGCCGTCTGGGAGAAAGAAGAGCAATTCTGGCCTAAGAGTATTCGTGCTAATGGTCATCTTCTCATCAACAACGAAAAGGTTTTCTATTCTACTTCAGTTTGTTAGTTATTCGACTTTTCAGATGTCCAAGAGTACTGGAAACTTCTTGACTCTATCTGAAGGAATTGACAGATTCTCAGCCGACGGAATGAGACTCTCATTAGCTGATGCCGGAGACGGTGTCGAAGATGCTAACTTCGTATTCAGCATGGCTGACGCTGCTGTTCTCCGTTTGTTTAACCTTATCGAATGGGTTAAGGAAATGGTTTGTTCTTAGCTTTCTGCTTTCGTGTAGTTTCTTTCTTAAGAATGAGTTGAGAGTCGCCGGATCTTTCCGTAAGGGAGCCTTCAACTTCAACGATAAGGTGTTCGCCAATGAAATGAACAAAGCTATCCAACTCACTGCTGATAACTATGAGAAAACTTTGTTCAAGGAAGCTCTTAAGTCTGGTTTCTTCGAATATCAGGTAATTTTATAATCATTATTCGACTAGCCATTCCACTATATAGACTCTTCGTGATATTTACCGTGAGTTCAATGGTGGACAAGATTCTGCCATGCATGAAGACTTGGTAACCAGATTCATCGAAACTCAAGCTATCATTCTATCTCCAATCTGCCCACATATTGCTGAACAGATTTGGAGAATCCTTGGAAAGGTGAGGTTTTCTTCTGAAGTAATCATAGTTCTGCGTTGTTTTTGTAGGATGGCCTCATCGTGAAAGCAAGCTGGCCTACTACTGATCCTGTAGATGAAGTTCTCTGCAAGGCCTCTGACTTCATCAGAGCTACCATCACTGAATTCAGAGCTCGTTTGAAAAACTTCTTGAACCCCAAGAAGAAAACCGGAGCCATCGAGCCACCCACTGATGCCTCAATCTGGGTTGCTAACGAGTATCCACTCTGGCAGCGTACTATCCTTCAAATTCTTGAGAAGCAGACTAACGTACGTTGCTCATAGAATCCTGATAATAAAACCTTGCTTCAGGAGAACAATGGAGAATTACCTGACAACAAGGTGATTGCCGGTTTGATTGGAAAGGAAGAAGCTCTCAAGAAGTTTGCCAAGAAAGCCATGCCTTTCGTTCAGATGGTTTTATACTCTTTCACTTTCGAATCGTAATCTCATATCTTCAGGTCAAAGAGCAATACAAGATTAAGGGAAAATCTGCTTTAGAAAGCGCTTGCTCTTTCGATCAAACAGCTATTCTCGAAGAAAACAAAGATTACATTCTTAACAGTCTTGATCTCGATCGTTTGGTGATTGGAAACACTTCTGACTCTGGTTGTGATGCCCTTATCGCTGAAACTGTTTGCCCAGGAACTCCTCTCATCAATTTCACAGCTCCAGCTGTTCGTTGCAAATCTATCATTCCGTTATACTGAATCTCCTTTTTTGCAGGATAAGTTGAACATTGTCGCCCAGAACGTCAGTATCTGCAACGGATTGTTCGATGTTACTGTCCCTGTTTCAACAGAGGATACCGTCGCCATTCTTATCAGAAAGATAAGAAGACTCAACAGATCTGTTAAACGTGCGTTTCATCTCTGCTTCCCAATGATTTTGTTCTCTCTTCAGCCAGACATAATGTTACTTTATGGAGATACACCGAAGAAAACGGAGACAGAAAGCTCAGAAACCTTGCTGATCCAATGAAAGGATTGGAGAAACTCTCTGATGATGGTACAACCAAGAAAATGATGTTTCTTCAATCGAAGTTTCTTTTCAGATGTGTTCGCCATCGCTGTAGAGAAAGAGGAAGTCTCTGTTGCTGGAAAGAGTGTGAATTCACTCGTCTATGTAGCCGAGTAAAGGACGCTTCGATTTTTTTTAATTTTTCAGCTTTTGCATTGTTCTGGTTGGATTTGTTATATCTCTCTTGTTTTCGTGATCTTATAAATATTTCCGTTTTCTTGCCCACATAGGCATGTGTAAAGTTTTTCTCTTCTCGTATTTTCCATTGAAGAACTAGTGAATTTAAAAGTTTTTAGATGCCTTGTAGAAACACTTGTCCTTCGACAAGTTCAGACACTTGTTCAGGCTCTACTACATGTAGCAAAGGTATCATACCTTCATTCCTCCTCTCTCTCATAATGTCCTTCAGCTGAAAAGTTTAAATGTTGCAAATCTCAGCGTCCGGATGTTGCTTTCCATCAGCAAATCGTTTCTAGCTGTAGTGGTGCAATAGCTACAGCCCTGCTAAGTTGGTTGTCCAAGGAGATTCTTCTCAACTGATGTTTTAACTTATAGTGACTCCTATGGATGTCGTCAAAATTAGACTTCAGCAACAAGCTCATGCTTTGCCTGCTGGCCAGTGTTTCTATTACTCCAACGGTTTGATGGAGCACGTATGTATTCCATGTGCAGACAAACAGCCTTGTGAATGGTATCAAAGACCCGGCAACTTCAATGGCACCATAGTAACCATCACAATATTCTCTCAGTCTGAACCATCTCATTTAGGATGCTTTCATAAAAATATCAAGAAATGAGGGAGTTCGATCTTTGTGGAGCGGACTATCACCAACATTGTACACCCCTTTATCAACTAGGCTTTAACGTTTATAGCTTTTCAGAGTGATGGCCATCCCTGCCACTGTTTTCTATTTCTCCGTGTATGATAATCTCTACTACAAAATGAAACAAATGTATTTTTGACTCTGGAAACCCCTTCTATGGTTCTTCTTAGGTCATGTTGTCGGAAGAACCAGCACCCTCACTGCTGGATCCCTCCTGATTGGGCTATAGCTCCTATTTCTGGAGCTACTGCAAGAACGATTTCTGTAACAATAGCCAGTCCAATGGAAATGATAAGAACGAAGATGCAGAGTGAACACATGAGCTACAGAGGTATTCTATTCATGTCGTGACGATGTTCTCATATTTTCATGTAGACGTCGGTAAGGCTTTTCGAGCGTCGATTGTTTCACGAGGATATTCTTCTTTGTTCCTGGGTTTGGGTCCCACAATTCTACGTGATATACCTTTTTCTGGTATGTAAAGTTTTTCAAATGATCTATCATGTTTTCTTAGCTTTCTACTGGGGTGGATATGATTACCTCAAGAAAACGTTTATGGCCTGGAAATCGCTGAAGGAAACGACGTTTGGAATTTCGTTCGCTTCTGGAGCATTATCAGGAATGTTCGCTGCATTTATCACAACTCCTTTTGATGTGGTCAGTTGATTATTTTTATTTCTCTAATAACTGTCGACACAGGTCAAAACTCAGAGACAAATAACTCTCGGTCAAACTGAGTTGACTCAGAAACCCAAAAGTGCCCGAGAGGTATTCTTCAACATTCTAAAAACTAGAGGTCCTTCAGCCCTTTTTACTGGTAAGCTAAGATGAATGAGAAAATATGAAAACAGAAGAACTTAAGGTGTCATTCCACGTCTTGTCAAAGTTGCTCCAGCATGTGCCATTATGATTGCTTCCTATGATTTCTTTAAACTCTACTTTGCTCGTCAAAATCAGAGAAAAGCCAAAGAATAAGTATTCCATGAGATATGAGTAGATCGCTAGTATTGTTTTCTCGTTTACGGCTTCGCATCTGAAACCCTGTGATATATTAACTGTTTTTGTTACAATAGGTATTAATACACAAATTTTCTATGTCTTCTCAATTTCTTCCGTCTGTATGCGTTTGATCGCATATCATATCTCCACTCCTTCCTCTTTCACTACTTACTCACGTTTCTTTGTAGAATGTCCAGCTTGGTCAGTATAAGCAAGAAATGTGTTGCCCAGAGGGCTCACAGGGAGAGATCCATGGTAGTTCATCAAGCTTTTAGATTGAAAATCTTCTTTTTCAGCCTGAGAAACGGGCGAGATTTGGTATCTTAGAGAAGAAGAAGGATTATCAACTCAGATCAAAAGATTACAATGAGAAGAGAGCCGCTATTAAGAAGTTGAAAATTCAAGCTTTAGACAAGAATCCTGATGAGTTCCATCATCATATGCTTAACAGCGAAGTGAAGGTAATTCGAGAATACTCTTCATGAAACATCTCCAGTACTTCAGAATAATCTTCATTATGACAAGAAAACAGAAACTGAAGAAGCGGCCTCGAAGGTTCAGAAAATGCTCAGTGATGTCAAAGACTTAGATTATGTAAAATATAAGCTCACTGCAGAAAAAAAGGTTTATCAGCTTCAACATCTTTCATAGTACATATGTTCTCAGCATATTGATGAGTTGAAATCACAATTGCATTTCGCTGATACGACAACGAACGAACTTAAGAACAACCACGTCGTGTATGTTGACGATGCTGAACAAGGTGATTCAATTCTCATATAATTGCTATCAAACCCTTCTATTGCAGCCAAGTCATTTGATCCTGTTGATTACTTCCAAACTACTGATGAGTTGTTAGCAAGACGTTACAATAGACCGAAAGTAGAAGATTTGGAGACAAAAGTTATCGTAGGCACGTTCGATAAAGCGACTGTTGACGTACGTTTTCTTGGATCTGTCCCTCTCACGGTTATACTACTTAGGAAGTTGATCGAACCCGCAGAGTCAAATATAATGAACTTTACAAAAGAATTAATCGAGCAAAAGAACTTGAAGTTGTCGTAGCGAAATTACAACTCAAAAAGGTGTGTCTGCCCGAAATATACGAATGAAACGTTTCTTAATCTGCAGGATTTGGCGGACTCAACGCGTGAAGTAGCTCCCAAGAAAGTCCGTAAAGGAGGATCTAAGAAAGCGGCAGTTTACAAATGGACTTATGAGAGAAAACGATGAGTTTTTGTTTTTTGTTTTGTTGTTATATGTTGTTGTTAAAAACATTATGTTCAATCAAATAAAGGTCTGATAACTAGATCATGGAATAGAGAAACGTTTCATCTCCAATAGGTGGCAGACTGTAGTTCGTAGTCGATGGTGTTGTTGAGAATGAGGCGGGAAATTATGGAATTGTTGTCATTTGTCGATTTTTTTGTGAGTGAGAGTGGTTGGTAGTATTAGTAGGAGGATTATGTTTCCTATAAGTTCGTAATCTCTAATTGTTTGAGTTGGATTGTCGAGTAGCAGTAGGAGGGTAGTTGTCCGTTCGTTATCATCTACGTTGGAATCATCGTATTCATCTGGAATACTTCAAAACAAGAGTGAGTGATGTTATGTTTTATCTTGTATCTTTGTCTCGTAAGAAGAGAGGTGATGCTCGAGGAGAATATGTAAAGAGAATGTATCGAGTGAGAGATGTGATCCCAGGGAAGCGCAGTATGATGAAGTGTTAGGATTTCTTTTGTAATTCAACCACTGAGCTCTTTTCATGATCGATCAAAGTGATATAAGACACTCATTCGTGGACCCAGCGACTTCATTGCTTGTCATTCACCTCTTCAATGGTCACTACCAAATTCTCGATTCTTATTGATTTCTTATTGATGATTGCTTCATTCGAATATGATATGCGCTTGAGATTTTGTGGATTATGAGAAAGTTTGTTTTCGGAACTCGCAGGAGGAGGTTAGGGAGAGTTGTTGTATATTATGGGGAAGATGGAGGACTCGAGGGATGATGAACACAAAGGAAAATAAGGGAAATGAAGGGACAGCTTACAGATTGGTCCAGATGAAGCAGAAGTAGCAGTAGCAGGAGGATAAGGTAAGTTTGATCCCAAAAAGCTCAAAAAGGTGATGGGTCATGCCAATTTTTTTTAAAATTTTTTTCAAAATTTTCCAAAACCCAACCGCCCTTTGCCAGACTCTTTTACGCTCAGCACCTCAGCCCTTCCGATGGAGATTTGAGCTAAGAGTCTGGCAAACTCATGGACG